TAGCAGTGAATGTCACTTGATCCCGGGATGCTGCATAACCGTCATAAGTACAAGTCAGTTGCCAAACACCTGGATTCTGATCACATGACCACGGGGATGCCGCGAGGGTCCTTTTAAGTGTGAAAAAAGGCCTCTTTTTCAGTGCCGTTGTAACTTTGGACCGTCGCTAAATGAACCGTTGTAAGTCCGAGGACTACTTATATCAATTGATCCATTCAGCACTTAAATTTTGGGGGGCTCTGATGGACAAAAATATTACACGCAGGAATTAAGGCAGGGGTCTTCCAACTTGGCCCTTTGATGACAGGTGGACTTCAACTCCCAGAATTCCTCAGCCAGGCACATGCGTGCCTGGCTGAGGAATTCTGGGAGTTGAAGTCCACCCGTCATCAAAGGGCCAAGTTGGAAGACCCCTGGATTAAAGGAAGAAATTTGGGAAATAAGGGGGAAAGACCAATACTATTTCCAGTTCTCCATTCACCCCCCCACCCCCTTTTTCATTTCATTTCCAGTGAACAAAGTAAACCAACTTTTGCCCTACATCCTGCAGAGATTCGGCTTATCCTTGGACAGCGGCAAGTTTACGATAACTGAATTATAACCGAAGACCCAGATGGCCAAGAGCCAGGAGAGTTGTTAGTTAGTTTGGAGATCTTTTCCATTTGTTTTTTTCTTTCTGGGTGTCTTGAAAAAGACACCCAGAGAGAAGCTTCACCATACTGAGAGCATGTGGGTGTGTTTTGATTTCGTTTTTATTTTTTTAACGGTTGCCTAGTTGGTCTTTTGGGCCAAGAAATGATCTTTTATCTTTCAGGGAGCGAGAGATTGAGTCAAAGGGACAAGCTTTTCTTGGAGGTTTCCAAGAAAAGACGGGAGAGCCGTTTCTCCAGGAAGGACTCTGGCCTTGGGCAAGGGGGTTGGACTAGATGACCTCCCATGTCCCTTCCAGCCCGAGGATTCTGTGATTCTATCTTCTCGCCACCTTTTTGGAATGCTGGTGAGGAGGAATCTTCTCAAACATTCCCAAACTGGAATAATAATAATAATAATAATGATAAAGTTGGAAGAGACCTTGGAGGTCATCTAGTCCAACCCCCTGCTCAGGCAGGAAACCCTATATACCATTTCAGACAAATGGCTGTCCATTCTCTTCTTAAACTTCCAGTATAATAATAATAATAATAACAACAACAACATAGAGAAAGTCATAGAAAATGATAAAATTAAACCGCTCTGGGACTTCAGAATTCAAACAGACAAGCACCTGCAACATGACACCCCAGACTTAACAATTGTCGATAAGAAAGACAAAAAAGTCTGGATAGTGGACGTGGCAGTGCCTGGAGACAGCAGAACAGACGAGAAAGAACTGGAGAAGATAACAAAATACAAAGACCTACAAATAGAAAGTGTGGCAAAATACCAATAGTCATAGGCGCCTTGGGTGCAATCCCAAAACAACTGGAGTACCACTTGAACACCATTGGCATTGACAAATTCGCTATTAGTCAATTGCAAAAGGCGGCCTTACTAGGAACTGCTTCCATCCTGCGATGATATCTGTAATACCATCAAACATCCACATCTGCCTATCCCAGGTCCTTGGGAAAGACTCGATAGACAAAAAGGCCAAATCCAGTCTGAACATCTGGCTGACTGTGCAATTAATAATAATAATAATAATAATAATCCACATCTGCCTATCCCAGGTCCTTGGGAAGGACTAGCTTGGTAGACAAAAATGCCAAATCCAGTCTGAACATCTGGCTGACTGTGCGATGATCCATAGAGCTGGAAGGGACCTTGGAGGTGATCTAGTCTAACCCCCTGCTCAGGCAGGAAACCCTAGATACCATTTCGGACATATGGCTGTCCAGATTCTTCTTAAAAACTTCCAGTGTTGGGAGCACTTAAGGGTGGATCGCAAAGGTGCTTTTCTAAAAAGGCAACTGATTTTCCTTGAGGAAGAAGCAGCAGCTTCATCGGTTGCGATGGAAGGATTTAGAGTCCAGACAGTTGAGACTGAAGGGTGTGTGTATGCGTGTCTGCGTTGTGGTGTGTGAAGCTCTATTGGCAAGACGGGGTTTTCACTTGTGTTTGAACCCGGGGGTCCTTCTCCCCCGTCTGGTTCCACAAGACGACATCTTGCCATAGATCGCATGATGCTTTGGGCTGGAATTAGGTGAATCAGGAGAGAGCTGGAAGGGACCCTGGACATTTATGTTGTGTATGTGTGTGTGTGTATAATGTACATTTATGTTGTATATATAAATGTATGCGAATATAAGTGAGTCCTAGTGGACTATCACCTAAATAGGAGCCACCCTTGTGCTGCAGCTGCCAAAAAGGCCAACACAGTGCTGGGCTGCATTAACAGAAGGATAGAATCAAGGTCACATGAAGTATTAATACCACTTTACAAGGCCTTGGTAAGGCCACACTTGGAATACGGCATCCAGTTTTGGTCACCACAATGTTAAAAATATGTTGAGACTCTAGAAAGAGTACAGAGAAGAGCAACAAAGATGATCAGGGGACTGGAGGCTAAAACATATAAGGAACGGTTGCTAGAATTGGTTATGTCTAGTTTAACAAAGAGAAGGACGAGGGGGGACAGGATAGCAGCCTTCCAGTATCTCAGGGGCTGCCCCAAAGAAGAGGGAGTCAAGCTATTTTCCAAGGCACCTGAAGGCAGGACAAGAAGCAACGGATGGAAACTCATCAAGGAGAGAAGCAACCTAGAACTAAGGAGAAACTTCCTGACAGTGAGAACAATTAACCAGTGGAACAACCTGCCTCCAGAAGCGGTGAATGTTCCAACACTGGAAGTGTTTAAGAGAATGGACAGCCATTTGTCTGAAATGGCATAGGGCAGTGGTTCTCAACCTTTTTAATGCCGCGACCCACAACCGGTCGTAAGTCGAGGACTACTTAACCGGTCGTCAGTCGAGGACTACTCAAGTGGTGCAGCACCGTTTGCAGAATGGGACTTTTGGCAGGCTCAGCAGGGCAGAGACAGCCTGGACAATTCCTATTGGCTTTTGAAAGCCAATAGAATTAGACTCTATTCAAGAGAGTCTATTCTATTGGCTTTCAAAAGCCAATAGAATAAAAGGGAGTAGCACAGCTAAGGAAAAGGGGGAAAAAATGGCGGACTGCGTTGTTTGGCGACCCCCGTGAAATGGTCGTTCGACCCCAAATGGGGTCCTGACCCACAGGTAGAGAACCACTGGCATAGGGTTTCCTGCCTGAGCAGGGGGTTGGACTAGATGACCTCCAAGGTCCCTTCCAACTTTACTATTATTATTATAATGTATATTTATGCTATATATCTAAATGTGTGTGAATATGCATTTATGTTGCATATCTAAATGTGTATATAATATACATTTGTGTTGTATATATAACTGTGTATACAATTTGAGGATGATGTCTTTCCTTCCATGCCAACCCCTCCCCCTCAGATGGGGGGGGAAAAAGCTCCCTCAAACTGTGCTTTTGTTCAGGAGGTTTGCGTTCCCTTATGGAGAGTCCAAGCTGTGCTCGATTTGGCCAAAAATAATTTGAGCGGCAACCCCAACCACAGTACGGCCTTGCTGGGAGGGAGCCATGTGAGAGGCCTTCTCCTCAGCCAGGGTGGTGGGAGTTGTAGTTCAATCTATGTGGTGAGCACCCAGCCACCCACACACGGCCTTCAAGACTCAAGATGGAGACTTTGGTCAGGCAGCTGAGGGGGCTCCCCTCCAAGGCCGCCTCCTCCTCCTCCCCCAGAAGCCCTGCAGCTGCCTGGCCAGACCCCCTCCCCCAAGGGAGGCTCCCCTTCTTCCCTCAGAAGAAAAAAGGCGGGAAAACCTAGCTAGTTCTGAGGGGGAGGAGCCTAAAGAGGGAAAATCCTCACACCAGGGGCCAGTTGAGCCTAAAAGGAGGGAAAATCCTCACACAAGAGCTAGTTGAGCCTGAGGGAGAGGAGCCTAAAAGGCAGGAAAACCTCCCAGCCGCTTCTGAGGGGGGAGGATCCTAAAAGGAGGGAAAATCCTCACATCACAGGAGAGCCAGTTGAGCCTGAGGGGGAGGAGTCTTAAAAAGGCGGGAAAATGCATCTAAGCAGCAGCTCTTCTTTCCTGCCTGGGAAGAAGCTTCTGGAAACTGCCTCCCGCTGGCCTTATTTAGCACCCTTAGCAGAATTCAGCAAGGGGGACGGGAAACAGCAGACACCATGGCTACCGCTGATGGTCGGGTGGTTCATTTGTGTCCAATTCTTGGATCGCCTGCAGTTTCCTTGCCAGAGTTTCCCCCAAGTGGTTTGCCATTGCCTCCTTCCTGGGGTTGAGGTAGAGTGACCGGCCCAAAGGTCACCTAGCCAGCTTCGTGCCCGAGGCAGAGTAGAACTCAAGTTTCTCGCCTGCTACCTTTACCACAGCACCAAACCGGCTCTCATTTATTTGCTGTTTCATAAAATTTGTTCAGTCACCTATTCCACGGTTTCTAGGCAGTTTACAAAACCTAAAACGGAATTAAGTTAAAAATACAGACCAGCATCGCTGGCTGGGGAATTCTAGGAGTGGAAATTGCCCAGTTTGGAGACCCCTGAAGTAGACTTCAGCAAAAAGCCCCAACTAAAAGCATGACCGCACCTTTCAACGCACAAACCTCAGGCCTGGAGCCAAGATTAGAATTTAAGGAAAGGGGTTGTTAAGCGAGTCACACCTGCAGAGAATCTGGCTTTCTCCACTGACTGCTTGTCGTAACTCCAAAGATGGCAGCCCCACGATCCTGGGATGCTGCAACCCATCTTCATAAATACATGGTAGCTACCAAAGTTTAACCCCGTGATCATCAGGATGCAACTGTTAAGTGTGAGGGCCGGCTGTCCCTTTTTTCAACATCATTCTGATATTGGAGTCACTAAATAAAGCCCGCAAGTCACACAGCAGCTCTATAGAAGCCCAGCCTTCAAAACCTGCGCACCCCCCCCCCACTAAAGCCCTCCGGACACTGGATTTGTACCATTTTCTTTCTTTTTTTATTATTATTATTTACATGTTAAAGAACCAGAAGATTTAAACATACAATTAAGATGAAACAAGAGCCCTAGAAGATGGAACAAGTGGGAAATAAAAGAAACGGTAGAAAAAATATACAGTCAACGTAAAAAACTCGATGGGGGGGCTGCCTCTCCTCTTCTGGCGGCCGCCCCGGAAAGGGGGCGAAGAACATGCGATTGTGGCGGTTGTGCCAAGGACATAACACGGCTACACTCACTCCGGGTCCCAAGGAAGCCAGGGGGGGGAAAGGGGGAATAAATAAAGAACCTTGAGTGCGGGGGAGGGGCGTGAGAGGAGGCGGCAACTTTTCTCCCCTCTCCCCACCCAAGAGGGGAGAGGCTCCAAGCTGGAGCACAGGGGGAGGGCACGCAACTCCCACCCCACCCAGGCCGTCTTCTGTCCCTCTGGAGGAGGAGCGTCACCAAACTCAAAACTCGCTAAATGCCAGATAAAAACTACACAAGGCTTTGGAGTTCCAGGCAACCCCTCCCTTCCGGAGCAACCCTGTACACACATAGTCCTGGTGCGGCCCCCACCAAACCGAAGCCACAAACGGGGGGTGGGGGGAGTAACCCAATGGGCTCTCGCCCCGCCACAGTCTGGTGGGGGGAGAAGAGAGGGCAGCCGGCGGCCGAGCCTTCCTGTGCTGACCCAGAGGGGGGAGCCCCCTCGCTCTTCCAGGTTCCGATCCCGCGGAACGCCTCCTCTTCCGGCCTCCCTTGCAGGGCCTCCCCTCCCGACCCACCCGTCTCTCCTCATTCGCCCCCGGGGTCGCCTAGCTGGAGTCCGAGTCGCTTGTGTCCGAGGAGGAGGAAGAGGAGCTGGAGCTGCTGGAGTCGGAGCTGGAGCTGCTGGCGCTCAGGCGGGAGACGGGCACCTGCTGGGCGGACTCTGGCTTCTCATTGGCTGCAGGGGGGGGAAAGAGAGAGATGGGTCAGTCTCGGACCACCAGACACCCCCCCCCAGAGTGCCCATGGCCGCGGCCGGAGGCTGACTGACCTTTCTTGGGCGGCTTCTTGGCCGAGTTCAGCTGCCCGCTGACATCCTGCAGGCGCCTCTCCAGCTCCCGCTTTTTCTCCAGGGCCAGCTCCTCCTTCGTCTTGCCCACCGGCTTCTTCAGGGCTGCGGGGGAGAATCCTGGTCAGGGGGGGCTCCTGCCAAAAGGAGGGGGGCGCTTGCCACCCACGCACAAAGCCTGCTGCTTCCACTCCTCACCCGGGGACAAGAGGGACCCCCGTAGCCTCTACTTCTACTCTTGTGATACGTATTTCAGGCTGTGTGGGTTACGAAGCCATCCACCATCTCTACACTTATACCTTAAACCGTGGCTAAGCAACCCTGAAACACGAGCCCACCCCTGCAACATTCACAATTGGAGGTTCTCCAGCCCCGAAAGGGTGTCATGGGAGCCAAACCTTTGGAAGGGACGACTGCAGTGGCCCACCCAGCCTCCCTGCTGACAAAACCTGCCACGCTAGAGAAAAACGGAAGCAAGGACCACGGGCACCAGGGGGGCCACGGGATGCACGGTAGAGGAAGAGGGTGGCAAGAGAGACCGACCGGGGCCTTCAGAAGGAACCCAAGCTCAGTCCTCGTTTTTAAACTAAGGCTGCCTCCTTCAGTCTTGCTAGGGGATTTTCTGTCCCCCAGGCTGGGCAATGGGGTGGGCGCCCATCTAAGTGAGCCCCTTAAGAGACATGGGTGGGCAGCCCAGGTGGGGGGTTTGTGGAAAAGCTTCCCAGACAAATCCAGCTGGCCAGGAGAACACCCACCCAGAGGAGGGGAAAAGAGCGGGAATGCAAGGCTGTGTGGCAGCAGCAGCAGCTGCTTTTCCTAAAGCATCTGGCAGAATCCCGTAGAAAGGCTTCATCTCCCCCCCCCCCGCCAATCACAACCATTATCCACAACTAATTGTGGATCCTGGGATTTCTCCCCCTCCCCAGAGAAAAAACCCTAACCAGCCATTTTCCTATCTGTGACACTGTTCGTAAACAAGGCCGGGGAAACCCTCCGTGGGGGATCAGGCCCCACTCCTACTCAGTGGTCGGGATAATCTAAGCACTCAAAAGACCCTCTTGGAGACCCCCCTGCCCCCCAGTGCCAACGTGGAGCCCTCTCCGGAGTGCAATTTCAAGTTGTTTTTCACAACTAAAGGCACTGTGGGGAAAACAACAAAACCGGGCGTGAGGAGACACGCAGTCTACCTTGCGCTCCTCGGAATAAAAACGGGGGCAAGGGGAGATCGCCAGCAGAGCCCCCTTCTGCCACGTCGTCTCCCCTCCCTCCCTCCCTGTGGCAGAGACGGCCTCACAGACTCCCCACAGAGCTGGGCCGGTTTGGGGGAGCCACACCACACCAGACTCACTCTCACTGTAGGGCTTCCGGGGCTTCTTGCGCAGGCAGGAGAGGACGTAGTGCTCCAGCTCCCGCAGGGTGGAGGCCTTGAGCGTCTCGAAGTCGATCTCGATCTCCTCCGGGTTCGAGTCCCTCAGCGAGGGCTCCCGCGACTGGATGATGTGCACCACCCGGCCCAGCTTCTCCCCCGGCAGCTTGTTGATGTCCAGGCTGAGCTGGCGCTTCTCGTCGTAGCTCATGGGCTTGCTCTCCTCCTCCTCCTCCGAGTCGAAGAGCAGGGGGGGCGGGGGAGGAGGGGGAGGAGGCGGCGCTGCCCCCTTGGAGCCCCCGGACTTCTTCGAGTTCCTGGCAGGAGAGGGGAGAGGGTTCAAGTGGCATGCAGTTCCACTGGCCCTCGCCCCTAGGAACCCGGCTGGGAGGGGGGATGAGCATCAGCTGTCAGACTTGTCTTGGCTTGTTTCCACGCACACAGAGCTCGCCACGGTCGATCCGCCGGGCAAAGAGAGTCATCACCCAGCTGGCCCCCCTCCCTGTCCTGCCTCAAGCACTCACTTGCTGCTGCCGCCGCCACCGCCTCCCCCACCGGCCTTCTTGGGCTTCTTGGGCTGGGCCGGGTGGTGAGCGCGGCCCTCCTCCTCCCCCGCTCTGGCCTTGCGCTTGTCCAGCTTCCTCCTCTTCTTCCTCTCCTTCTTGTCCCGCTTCCTCTTGGGCTTGGAGACAGGGCCCTGCGAGAGGGCGGCCAGCTGCTCGTGCACGGCCCGCAGCTGGGGGGAGGGGAGGCGGGGAGGAGTCACCAAGCGCCCCCTCCCTTTCTCTTCCCCCCTCCCACCAAGGCCCTGGGGGGGCCCTGCCTCGTTCCCCACCCACCCCTCCATCTTCAACCGGGCAAAGTGCCCCCCCAACTCACCTGTTCCTGCAGCTCAGCCAGCCGATTGGCCCGTTCCTCCTCGGAGTCCGAACTTTCCTCCTCGCTGTCCGAGGAGCTCTCGCTGCTGCTCTCATCTTCGTCCCCTTCCTCTTCGTCATCCTCTTCCTCCTCCTCCTCCTCCTCGCTGGAGGAGTCGTCGTCCGTGGAGGACTTCATCAGGAGCCCCGGCTGGGGGAGCGACGTCGAGGGGGGCCCGACGTGGAGGGGCTCGTCCGGCATCTTGGCGTAGCTGAACTCAAAGACGTCCTGCCAGAGGAGGGACGGTGAAGACAAACACACAGACACACACACACACCTCCTTATTGCTCCGGCATCTCAACGGGGAAGGGTCCCCTCCCACTGGGACCCCCAAGGGCTCTCACCTGCAGCTTGCGCGCCATGGCCACCACATCGTGGTCAGGAGGATTGTACTTGTAGCAATTGGAGAACATCAGCCGCACATCGGAAGCGAACTCCTGTGCGTCGCGGTACTCCCGGTTCTCCATCTTGCGCTGGGGCCGAGACAAAGCAGGCAGGAGAACACCATAAGGTCACAAACCCCAGAGCTTTCGACACACACACACACGTACCATCTCTCCACGGGGCCCACTTAATTCCCACAGGAGACAGCGTCAGGTTGTCCCTAACGTTGAGCACAGCAACACCGGGAAGTGGAGCCCAGCATGGACACATCCTGCTCACCCGGGGCAGCCAAGCCCTTTTCCCCAGCCTGTCTGCCACTACAGAACCCATCTCTTCCAGGCCCTGGGTGCACCCTGGCTACGCTGCTGGACACGGCTGCTACCGGCCCCGCAGCTTTGTCTCAGGGCCCTGGACCTACGTGCGGTGGGGAGTGCCTGGATGTGTCGTTCTTTCCCACAAAGTGAGGCCGGCAAAGCAGAACCGCATTTTCATTCAGAAAGGCTATTGCTGAGAAAATTATATTTTTGGGGGAGGGGGGGCTACTACACTAAGCCAAATAATTGCCTTTTTTTTCAGCTTCTTTCCCAGGAGGGCTGGATAACGTTTCCGGACTACGTGTCCTTCATTCGTCCCTTTCCCATTCTTTCTCTTTCTCTCTCTCTCTCTTTCTGTTTGTCTGTCTGTCCCTCCCTGTGTTTCTGTTCCCCCCCCCTCCCTCCCTCTAGGGCCAGGCTTTGCCCTCATAGGACAAAGGAAGCAGAAAATCCCGCCCAAGACGGACACAGCTGTCGGGCCAACAAGGCCAAAGGCAGACAGGGCAGCGGCCCACTCTCTCTCCCTCCCTAGAAAGCCGGTTTGGTCTAGCAGGTCAAGGCACCCGCCAGGCTAGGAAGCAGGAGACGACGAGTTCAAATCCCACCACTTTAGCCGTGACTTTGGGCACCACCCCCGCCCTCCCACCCGGCAAGGCAGTTGTTACAGGGAAAATTAAAGAGAGTGCTGTCTTGATGCGTTCCATTTATAAAAACCACCGAGGCAGGCTATCAGAAAAATACAAACACTAGAGAAGGTGCGATGCAGTGAGGGAAAGGGGGCCACCGGGAGACCTGGGCTTGTTGGCACAAGGCCTGCATGGGCCCCCTGTGCTCTACCCGAGGGAGGGAGGGAGGGAGGGAGACTCCTTGTTGCCACCCACCACTCCCCTCTCCGAGACCCCCCCACCCGGTGCCAAAGCGTTCAAGTGAAACCCCCCCCCCCGAGATTCCGAGGCGCTTCTGCCCCCCAGGCTCCCACCTTAATGCTGCTGAGGTCCATGGGGTGCTTGATGATCTCGTGGTAGTCGTGGAGGCCCAGGGCGGAGGCGTCCACGGGCTTGTAGAAGGGCCAGGCGTAGGCCGCATGCCTCTTGGAGACGAGCTCCTTCAGGATGCCGTTGCAGTACTTGAGCTGCTCCGACAGCTTCCCCCGCTTGGAGGTTTGGTGCTGCTGCGAGTCCGGCAGGTCCTTCCGGGGGGGCTTGATGGGGCGCCCGCTCTCCCGCCGGGCGGGGACCTTGGCCGCCTTGGCCTCCAGCACGGAGGGGGCGGAAGGGGAGGACTCCCCGCCGCTGGTGGCGATGATGGCCGTGGGCGTGGGGGTCGTGGTGTCCGCTTTCCGCTTGACGCCCTTTTTCTGCACAGGGCAACGAAGCGCTCTCGGTGAGTTGCCAAGAGCGTGCCCCAACTGGGGATGCTGGTGGGACCCCCCCCACACACACACTACTGCTCTTCCCTGGCCCTGATGGCAGGGTCCCCCCGGCCACCCACCAGACTTCCTACCTTGGTCACCGGCTGGGTGGGCGCAGGCACGGCCAGCAGTGGCTGGGAGGCGGTGGCGGCCTGCAGCGGCTTGAGGAGAGGGGCGGAGATGACGGAGGGGTGGGGGATGCTGATGATGGTGGTGGGGATGTCCGTGGTGCCGCTGGAGAAGAGCCCCGTGTGGGAGACCGAAGAGATGGCCGGAACTTGCTGGGCGGCTGCGTTAGCTGCTGCCAGGAGGGCTGGGGAGGAGAAGTTGCCACGAGAGGTTGGCCGAAGCAACTTAAGGAGGTCGACAAGCTCACCACCAACCCCCCTGGCCCTTTCCCAAACTAGGAAGCTCCCCCCCCCCAAGCAGCCTGGGCTGATTACAGTGACATGATAGAAGATTGGACGGGGAGGGGAGACCACCAAGAAACCTGGCAGATTAACCGGGCAGTTGGAAGGACACCCTGGAGGACAGTAGGGCAACATCTGGTCCTCTTGCCAGATGTGGTCTTGAAGGCACTAAGAGGGGCCATCCTCATGAGGCACAGGGTTCAACCTCCTCCCCCAGCCATTCTGCCCACTGCCAAGCCCCGCCCAGTGCCAAGCCCCGCCCCGCCCCTGGTTACCTGCTGCCCGAGAGGCTCCCTTCTTGTGGCTGTTCTTGGCCACCGTGAGGACGATCTCCTGCTCCTCCTGGGGCATCTGGGCCACTTTCTGCAGGAAGATCTTCTCCAGCGTCTGGGCCATCAGCACAATGTCGTCTGTGGGCTGCAACGAGGCGACAATCAGCAAAAAGAAAAAAAAAAAAGGCCGGGGACAAGACGCCTGGAGCTTCGCAGACCCCTTCGGCATCGATTTCCCGTATGCCCTTTTAAAAGCTGAAGGGAAGTTAGCATCAAACACGCTAAAACTGCGCGATCGAAGGTCGCCTGAAACAGCGGTGACAACAGAAGTTTCCCGAAATCCACCCATCTGGGGTTACCGTTCTCTTTCTCAATAAGATTCCCAAATTAGTTTGAATCAGATTTTCACACGACAGAAAAACAACAGGCTGATCTGCACTAGAACAGAAAGCAATTTCCTGCAGATCTGTCCAGACAAGGCAGGGAAAGGTAACCAATTAGGTGACCCATGGATAAAGTCCGGTGGAACCGAGCCCCGGATCACAAAAGCCCCCGGATGCTATTAAGCGCTACTACTTCCCTGGCCCTCCGAACAGGACTTCCATCAGGTGCCTCCCTCCAGCCCAGCCGGGCCTCACCTTGTTGTAGATGTAACAGTTGGTGAACATGGTGTTAAAGTCCTGCATGCACTCGCCCGAACTCCAGTAGTAGCCGTTCTCCAGGCGCCGCTTGATGGTGCCCATGTCCATCGGCTGCTTGATGATTTTGTGGTAGTCCTGGAGACGAGAGGGGCAGAGGGGCCAGCCGTCAGGGACCCTGCAAGCAGCCCCTTCTCAACGCAGCGAACCACCCAGGGTCCCCCCCCCCGGGGGGGAGGAGCAGGCCATGCAAGTCGCAGCAGCAACACCACCCGGGAGTGTGTGTGGGGGGGGTCCTGCCTCACTGTCTAGGCAACCCTGCCACTAAGCAGCCCAGCTGCACAAACACACGCAAGGAGGACAGGGACTCTATCCTGCCTGGCTCTTCCAAAGTGGATGAGAATCCGGCCAAAACGCAAGGGAGCCCCCCCTCCCCTTGGGGAGATCTACAGCCTGTACTTGAAGCCTCCCCCAAGAGCCACCCTACTCAGGCGTAAACAAGCACATAACCCTGGACAGATTTGTTTCTTTTTTTTACCTCTGGGCTTTAAATCCTTGGGTGCCGGCCGTTAATTTGGGGGGCCCGCTTGATGTCTTCTACAAAGTCATGGATGGGAATCTGCAAAACGCATTCAGGTCACAAGAGATTAGATGGGGGAACGGTGCAAAAAGCAGCTGCATCCTCTCATCCATGCCTTTGTAGGGACAGGAGGGAGGAGGAGGAGACCCTTCCCCGGTGGGAGAGGGAGACCCTAACCACTGGCAATGGACCCTGACTGACTGATGGGGAGGAAACGGCATCCCCACTGCTGGGAAGACGAAGCCCGAGAGAGAGAAAAGCCGGCACAGGAGCAGCAACAGCCGAGAAAAGCCGAAGATGATGGGACACCCGAGCAGCAGCGCCATTCCCGATCACCCTCCCCTCAACTCTGCCCCAGCCGCGCAACCCCGGAGGGAGGCAGGCAGGCGGTCGGTTCGTCGGTCCCCAGAAGAGCCAGGAAGCCCCCCTCGACGTCCCGCCACCACGACCTCCCCGCCGGTTACCGGGAGCCCCAGCTTGACGGCGTCCACCGGCTGGCGGAAGGGCCAGGCGAACTGGTGCTTCCAGAGGGCCTTCATCACCACTTTGTGCAGGTACTGGAGCTGGTTGGTCACCCGGCCGGGCTTCTTGGGGTTGGAGACCTCGGGCGGGGGCGGGTTGGCGGCCGAGGACAGGTGCAGGGCCGGCACCGACGCCATGGTGGGGCTCTCGAAGCCCTCGTAGAGCAGCGACGGCTTGCGGATCCGCTTGCCCGGCGCCGCCGACTCCGCCGCCAGGCCCAGCAGGCCGGCATTGCCCTCGCCCAGCAGCCTGCAAGACGGCGGGGAAGCGGGGCTCAGCCGGTCGCGCCCTTCCTTCCCTGCCTGCCTGCTTGCACCGAGGCTCCGGGGAGGCTGGCAGGAAGAGGCGCCCGGTTGCTAGGCAATCCCGCCGCCGCCGCCCCTCCCTTCTTCCTCCCCGGCCGGGCCTGGCCGCCGGTACCTACTTGCCGTTGGGGTTCACGTTCTGCAGCATGCCCGCCGCCACCGCCGCCGCGCCGCCCTGGCCTCTCCGCCGGGAGGGTCCCGCTGCAGCAGCCGCCGCCGGCGCCTCCGTGGCCTCGGGGGGGCCCCCCACCTTGCTGGGCGCGCGGCTCACGGGCGCATCGCGGGGAGGGAAGGCGGCTGCATGGCGGACCGGCGCGGGGGCTTCTCCTCCTCCTCCGCCGGCCGAGCGGCGCAAAAGCTCAGAAAATGGCGGCCTCCGCAGCTGCGCGGCGCTGCAGGCAGCTTCCCGCTCGCGAGGCCTCGGGGGAGGCCGGCCCGCCGCCGGGCACGAAATACGGGGCGTCGCGGAGTCCCCGGAGCCGCCGCCTCCGGAAGGGCCGGGAGCCGGGCTGGTCGTCGCGGGCGGAGCCACGGATGGCGGCGGATTGTCAAAGGGGGACTGCGAGCCGCGCTCCGCTTGGGCCGGCCGGCTCTGCCTGAAAGGCGGGACGGGCGGGGGCGGCCACCGCTACGGAAGCCGGGAGGAGGAGGATCCGAGCGGTGGTTGCAGCGGCGACGATGTCTCCGGATAGAGTCCGCCCCCTCTCCGCCGCACTCGCGCTGGCTCCAACGCGCGCAGAGAAGGCTCCTTCCTTCGCTACAACGAAATGGCGCCTGTCGGCCTGCCCCCGACCGGCCTTATATAGACGGCCGCCGCCTCCCGATTGGCCGACAGCGGGGCTGACATCACCGTCCCGCCCAGCCACGCCCATTCCCAGCCTCGACAGATCGCACGGGGAGGAACGCCGGACGCCGGTGCCTTACGATTGGGCGACACCCGGGTCCATCACTCTTCCACCTTCCGCCCCCTACTCCGGCTGCCGGCTCGCGCATTGGGCCTGGCTGCCATTCGTTCGCTCCCGATTGGCTCGCGCCCCGCGCTGGGGCGGGACGCCGAGTGGAGAGCGGCCGTTGGCTGTTGCTGTTCTCTGCTCACCGCGGGGGGAAGGGAGGGGAGACGGGAGAGGCGCCATTTTGGACAGCGGAGAAGCAGGGCGGCGGGAGGGCGGCGGCGGCGACAGCGTACCGTTCCCCGCCGCCCTCCTCTTTTCCTCTCTTCGAAATAGTCCCTACCCGGGGAAAAAGGAAGCCCCGGATGGGAAAGCGGGCGTTTTCCCGCCTCAGACGTCGTTTCCCGCCAAAACCCGAGACTCCTCAGCCGCACAAAAGATGCTCGGCTGAGGCTCCTCGACGAAATCAGAAACCGGAGGGCTCGGCCGGCCGTCTCCCTCACATATAGATCGCCCACGGGACGTTCTCGGCCTCGGCTTTCCAACGCTGGCACGGCACGCTCCTCAGGGCAGCAGGCGCGGGGGGGGGCGGCCAAGTGAGGCGGCTGAGTCATTTCCGGTGGGGGCGGGGGGTCCCAGCGGGGCTGAAGGGCACGCGAGACAACTTCCCCCCCCCTCGCCCGGACGCCGTGACGCAGCGCTTCCATCTTGGGCGGCGGCGGAGGGGGGCCAGAAAGAGTCCCCCCTCCCCCCACGCACCAATCACCCGCGCAGCACCGACTCCATTTCTTCCCGCCCCCCCAACCGTCTTTCCAGGCCCCGCCTGAGCCGCGCGACCCCTCAGCGCCGAGGGGGGCCCTTCCAGGCGGAGGCGGCCGGCGCGTCACGTGACCGAGTAGCGGCCTCCCCATTGGCCACGCCATGAGCGGGAGGGGCCGAGAGGCGAAAGGCTCCGAAATCGCGCCCGCCGCTCGCCGGACGGCGTCGCCGGAGCGGGGAAAAGCGACGGGGGTAGGGGAAAGGAGACGAAAAGCTCCTCCGTACAGTTAAGGAAGCAAAAAAAATAAAAAATCCTACCAGCGCTGCCACGGCCGCCATGAGCCTCACGTCACCGCGCTCCGATTGGTCCCCGCCGTCACGTGTCCTCGCCGCGGCCGCCGTTCCCAAAAGCCCGGATGCCGCCGGGGACCCGCTCTTTCCGCCTGCCCCGCCGCGTAACCATCCAGCCACCGAAGATAATCCCGAAAAAGCGGCCCGCCGGCGCGGCCCCCTTCCGGCGGCCCCCGCCCCCCGTCCGAGCCCCGCTTTGGGCGTAAAATCAGCATGGCTCCCGCGACGCCCGGAGAAGCCGACTGCGCATGCTCCGCCTTGCCCGCCTCTATCTACCCTCGCGCGTGCGCGCCAGCCAGCGCGGTGCGGGAGAGGCGGGGGTGCGTGCGCAGTGGTGGTTCGTTGCGGCCCGCCGCCGGGCTATCCGTCGCGGCCGATGGGTGCGGGAGTCCCCTTTGGGGGGGGAGGGGAGGGGCAATGGAGGTTTCCCTTTCTGGATCTCGGGGGCGGGGGTTGCACGCTCGTGGGGGGGGCGTCCCGGGACCCCTCCGGGCATGCGCAGAAGGTTCGCGCTGTGCCGCGCCTTGTCCCCGCTTGACCCCGCCGGCTGCAGAGGCGGCGTCCCTTCGGAGGGGGCGGCGGGCGTCGCTCGCTGGCGGCGAGGAAAGACCTCCCGGGAGGGTCTCCGGGGGAGGGGGAGGGAAGAGGCCGCCCCTCCCGTACAGCAGCTGCCGCTGCAGGGTCCAGTGTCCGGCCTGATGACCTCGGGGATCCCTTCCAGCTCTGCCACGCAGGGGAGCTTCCGCTTCGGGGGTTCAGTGCAGGCGTGGCCTCATCAGGGACGGGGAGGGGGCGGAACGAAGCCGAGGCTGCCTCTTCTCTGCCCCGCGGAGCTGCCCGGAGGGAAGGCGCGTCCCGCTCGAACCGGGACCCCGGAGCTCCCCGTTCCGCTCGGAGGGGACCCCCTCTGCACCGCTGCTTGACCCTCAAGCCCCTCTCCCTATTTCTGTTGTCCCCCCCCCCAAGAAATTAGGTGCTCCCCGCTGCCGTTTCTCCCCAGAGCGTAAATACAGCTTCGGAGTTGAGGTGGGGGCTCCCGCCAATTTCTGACCCCCCCCCGGACCGATGGGGAGGAGGGCATTGCTAAAACGTGCCTGTCCAGCAATCCAAGCGAAGGTCCTTGAAGCCCCCCCCCCCCGCACAAGCTGGTCTGGTGGGAATAAAACCTCGTCTGGATCCTGTTTTGTATGTTTCAGTGGGCTGCTCTTCGAGGGCGACGGGGCAAAGGGGACTTCCTGGGACCCAAAACCCGCCAGGGGTCTCTGGGGGGGGCACAATTGGGAGTTTAGTACAAATTCTGAAGGAATTCATCCATGGGCGTCCCCTTCCCCTGGAGGAGAGAACCGGGGATCCCCCCCCCCCAACGTCCCACCTGGAGGAGACCCTGGCAGAGGCACTTGGGCAGCTTGAGTGGCCCCATCGGGAGTTGGAGGGGACCCCCAGGCCGAGGGGATGCCCCTGGGGAAATCTAGGCCCAGCTCAGGCTAGAGTGCCCCCCCCGCCCTCCCCCCCCCGGGTTCCCTTTGCCCATTTCCAGGAAGTTTCCTGATGCTTTCCTACTCAGCCTTGTCTCTGGAGAGAAGCCCACCTTCCTGCCATGTGCACAGGGGCTGTGCTGGGGGGTCAGAAACAAGGGCCCCTGCCTCCTCCCAAAAGAGGTTGGGAGCTACTCAAGAGCAATGGGTGGCGTTCCTCCTCCTCCTCCTCCTCTTTATGGCTCATGGCTGGTTTTGCACACAAGGACCCCAAGCAAAACAGGAACATCCACGTAGACCAGGAAGTTAAGGTCCAGCCCATAGCAAACACTGTTCTCTCTCTCTCTCTCTCTCTCTCTCTCTCTCTCTCTCTCTCTCCCTCCCTCCCTCCCTCCCTCTCCCTTTTTATCTCCCTCTCTCTCTCTCACACACACACACACATTCTCTCTGGGTCTCTTTTCTCTCTCTCTCTTACACATTATCTCATTGTGGGTCTCTCTCGTTCTCTCATTCTCTCTTGATTGACCTGGTCAAAAGGAGATGTGTAGTAGTAGTAGTGGTAGTGGTAATAATAATAATAATAGGAACTGCTTCCATCCTGCCACGATACCTGTAATACCATCAAACATCCACATCTGCCTATCCCAGGTCCTGGGTAAGGACTCGATAGGTAGACAAAATGCCAAATCCAGTCTGAACATCTGGCTGACTGTGCGATGATCCATAATAACAATAATAATGTTGGAAGGGACCTTGGAGGTCAACTAGTCCAACCCCCTGGAAAGAGTTTGAAGGAAGGTGAGCAGAGAGCTGCAAAATGCCAATGAGATCCTTGGCTAGCTGAAGTGTCTGTGTGTGTGTGTGTGTGTGTGTGTGTGTGTGTGTGTGTGTGTGTGTGTGTCAGGTGCCCAGGCAGGATCGGGCAGCAGTTCCTCAAGGGCTCTGCCCAGGGGTGCCACCCGTGGGGAGGAGGCAGGACCCTCACTGGCCCGCCCCAGGTGCTGCAGCACCTCCCCCCCCCAGTTTTTAGTATCTGGCGTTCTTCCCAGGCTCTCCTGAAGGGGGGGCTGCTCTCTAAGGTGTTTGCTGCCCCCCCCCCCCGTCTAACTTTTGACAAGGTGACCGTGCCGTAGGTGAGGCTCCTGTCCCCGGCAGACTGAGGTGGAGCTGCGGACCGACGCTTCCGGTACAAAGGCTGGGCCAGCTCTGGGAGCAGCCTCCGGCCTCTTCCGCCCACCTTCTCGCCCCCAACCCGGACCTCCGGGACTTTTCTCACTGCCCGGGTCGAGGCAGGCTCCCTCCCCTGCGTTCCCCTGGCCCACCGGAGTGCCCCCTCCCTCAGAAAGGGAGGGCAGGTTGCTGTGGTGTCGCTCTAGCCTCGGTTCCCTCTGTCCCCCCCACCTGCTCCCCCCCCCGGCTTGCCGGGTCCAAGGTAGATAGGGGAAGGCCTGGAAAGGAACTGGAAAAACTGGGGGGGGGGACGGGGTTTTTCCGTTTTTTCCAAATGCCTTTAGAAACAAAGCGGAAAAAAAACAAAACGAAAAAACGGTGGTATTTTTTCCAGTTCTTAGTTTTTTTCCCCAGGCCTCAGAAATCATGGGCACGCCATCAATGGGGGCTTTTAAGAAGAGGCTAGACAGTCACTTGTCTGAGATGGCACTATAGGTTCTCCTGCTTGAGCCGGGGGGGGGGGTGGACTAGAAGACCTCCCAGGTCCCTTCCAGCTCTATTCTATTCTATTTTAATTATTCTGTTCTGTTCTATTCTATATTCTATTCCATTTCTATTCTATTCTATTCTATTCTATCTTAATTATTCTGTTCTGTTCTATTCTATGTTCTATTCCATTTCTATTCTATTCTAATCTATTATTTTATTCTAATTCTATTCTATTATTCTATTCTCTTTATTCTATTGTATCTTTATTCTATTCTATATTCTATTCCATTTCTATTCTATCTTTATTCTATTATCTGTTCAATTCTATATTCTATTCCATTTCTATTCTATTATTCTATTCTATTCTATCTTTATTCTATTATTCTATTCTATTCCATTCCTATTCTATTCTATTCTATTCTATTATTCTGTTCTGTTCTATTCTATATTCTATTCTATTCTATATTCTATTTCATTTCTATTCTATTATTCTATTCTATCTTTATTCTATTCTATTCTATATTCTATTCTATTCTATTCCATTTCTATTCTATATTCTATTCTATTCTATTCCATTTCTATTCCATTTCTATTCTATTCTATTCTATTCCATTCCACTCCACTCCACTCCACTCCTCTACTCCACTCCACCCCACCCCACCCCACCCTACTCTACCCCACCCTACTCTACTCTCTACTCTACTCTTTTCTAGCCCGGCTGCACTATCTCCACTTCGGGACCGAAACTGCCGGGCTTCCCCTTGGCAACAGGTGACCAGGGCGCGCAAGGGGAGCGGATTGGCTGGCCGGCCCCAGAGGCGGGCCCCAGGTGGGCGCGGAGCGTCGGGCTTCTCCCCGCGGGGCCAGAAGGACGCTGGGCGAGCGGGCAGGAGAGGCGATGGGTCCCGGGCGCTGCCGGTGGGCGCTGCCGGCCTGGGCTTTAATCTGGGCGTCGATGGCCACGGCTGGAGGTAAAGAGGCGGGCCGGGGGGGGGGCGGAGGCTGAGGAGCGCCTGCCGGAGCAGGAGACGCGCCGCTAGAGCCGCGCTCACACGGGCGCTTGACCCGGGTTACCAACCCAGGCTCCTTCCTTCGCGTAACAAAAGAAGCCGCGTTCGGACGGGAGGCAAAACTCCCCGCCGCCGGGAGCTCGGCGGAGCCCGCTTTTTCTGGCCGTGTGAACGGTCTCCGGATAGCTACACGCTTTTCTTCCCAAGACCAGACCTTCCTGAAGTGCTGGGGGGTGGGGGGGTCCGTAAACCCCCACATATACGACAGGAGAAGCGGCTGGTCCCGGATTTCGGAGCCCCCCCCCACACACACACTCACTCACTCACTCACTCACACACACACCCGCCCGCGCGCTTCGGCTGAACGGCCAGCCTTTCGTTTTCGCTTTCAAGAGAAGGAAGTTTTTCTTCAGCCAGGCTTCCTGCAAGAGTGTCACGTCTGAAGGCGCTTGGCCAGCTCTTCCTCGCGGGTTAGGAAGCCGCGAGTCTCCTCCTGGCCTTCCGGAGCAGCCCAGGCGACGTCTGGCAGGCGCTACAGCCGCCTTCGCACGACCCCCGGGCCACCAGGGTCGGCAAGGAGCCCGACCCCCCAACACACACGGGGGGGGGAAGTCCGTGCCTGGGAAGCAGGGAGTGACCGGCGGAGGGGCGAAGGGAGAGCAGGCGCCCGTTAGAGTTCAGGCTGGTCCTCACGGCCAGCATGCGGGTTGATCCGGAGTTGCTGTGTGAACGCATCTAGAAGAAAGCCCTGTCCTCCCCACCAGCTGAGAAACAGGGAGGGGGAAAGTGGAACGAATGAAGGAAGGTGGAGCAAAACGGGAGTAATTAGCAGCGGGGAGGGGGGTCTAAGACCATTTGCTCAGTCTCCCCCAACCCAAATGGCCCAAATAGCAGCAGCCACCCAAGGGGGGGAGGCAGCAGGCAAAGGAAGGGGTCGTGCTGGCAGCCCCCAAAGCCACACCCTCCTGGAATTGGATCTCTTTGTCCCTCACCAGGGACTGGAAGCACACTGGGGAGGAGGAAGAGGACGAGAGGTCAGAAAAGTCAAGATGGCAGCCCGGCGGGACCGTCGAAGCCCGGAATCCACATCTCGCATGGCGGAGCTTCATGGAGGGCATCGTCGCGACGGCTACGACGCCCCTCTGCAAGCAGCCTAAATCGGGGCGCTTCAAACTCGGCCCTTTGATGACTTGTGGACTTCAACTCCCAGAATTCCTCAGCCAGCGTGTACACGCTGGCTGAGGAATTCTGGGAGTTGAAGTCCACAAGTCATCAAAGGGCCGAGTTTGAAGGCCCCTGGCCTAAATCATGAATGGGAGTCTGGCCTGACCTGGTCACGGGGTGTGTGTGTGTGTCACGTGACGCTCCCCCTCGCTGCCTCCCAGTTTGCCGTGGATGGGTGAGTGGGGGTCTCCCTCCATCCACCCCCTCCTCTTTTTCCCCCTCTCGCCCCCTCCAGAGCAGCCGGCACACCTGTTCTCGGAGGTGTTTTTCTGCCAGAAGGACTACCCGCTTTATGGCCTGGCCCAGACCCTGGACGACGCCCTGGTCCTCTCCTTCGACTTTACGGCCTCCAGCTGGAGCCCCCGCCTGCCGGCCTTCCCCACGGAGGGGCTGCTCTCCATGGCCCAGATCGAGGCCAGGAAGAGAGTCTGTGACGCGGTCCTGTCTGCCCTCACCCGCTTTTCCGACACGTACATTCAGATCCAGTTCCCCGAGGCCACAGGTCAGGCGCTGAGTGGGGTGGGGTGGGGTGGGGAAGCGTCCCCCCATTTATCCTGTTGGGCCACAATTCGGTCACTCTATAAGCCAGGGGGTCTTGTGGACTTCGATTCCCTTTCCAGAGCCCCCTTGCTGGAGGCTGGCTTCCCAGATCTCCCTCTCTGCCCAGGGCAGATTCCTCCTGCAGGATCACTCTCCGAAGAAGTGTGAACTCTCTGTTATTTAAAGCAGAGGGGTATAGGCCCTCCTGTCTGAGCAGGGGGCTGGACTAGAAGACCTCCAAGGTCCCTTCCAGCTCCATGCTATTCTATTCTATTCTATTCTATTCTATTCTATTCTATTCTATTCTATTCTATTCTATTCTATTCTATTCTGTAATTCTATTCTATTCTATTCTATTCTATTCGGGAACCATGATTTATATTTATTATATTATATTATATTATATTAATTATGTTATATTATATATTATAATATATTATTATATTATATATTATTATTATATTATATTATATTATTATATGTTCATAGTATGTTTAGGTGTATGTCGTGTATGTGTTTCACTTGAGAGCGGGCAACTAAATTTCATTTTTGATGTCATTGTGCCCACAGTAAAATAATGACAATAAAGATTATTTTCTCTTCTCTTCTCATTTCATATATCATATCTTATCTTATCTTATCTTATCTTATCTTATCTTATATCTTCTCTTCCCTTCTCTTCTCTTCTATTCTATTCTATTCTATTCTATTATTCTCCTATCCTATCCCATCCTATCCTATCCTAACCCTGGGCCACTTGAAGAGCCAGCCAGCCAGGCCGTTCTGGGAATTGAAGCGGCCCAGGTCGGACAGCCCTGAGTCTGAGGCTGCTTCCTTTTATTTTATGTACTTGTTCATCGGTGCCCCCACCAAGGACCATTGGCCAGTTTACACTAACGCACGCTAAAAAAAAAAAAAATAGAATTTGAATAAAGCCTATAGAGAGAGCAGAATCAAAAGGAAAGCTGAAAACGCTGTGCACACTCAGCAGCAGCGAGCGGGCCTTCCGTGTCCATGCCAATTAAAATGGCACCCAAAGGATCCTACTGGGGATGGGATACAGCAGGGGTCTTCAAACTTGGCTCTTTCATCAGCGTGCCTGGCTGAGGAATTCTGGGAGTTGAAGTCCACAAGTCACCAAAGGGCCAAGTTTGAAGACCCCTGGCCTACAGTCTGTCTCAGGAGGAAAGCACCACCCTTGCAGAGACCCACTCACACACACACACACACACACAACCCTTTGGTGGGGAAGGATCTGAGGCAGGGTCTGGGTGTACATCCTGAAGGCCTGAGCCGGTACAGGGGGGAGGATGAACACAATAGCGGAATAAGAGAGTTGGAAGGGATCTTGGAGGTCATCTAGCCCAACCCAGGTGCTGAGTTTTGCTCCAAGGCCTTTTGAGCCCGGATGAGGTCAATCCCGGACTTTAGGGGCCTCTGCTGGTCTTCGTGACTCTGAGCCCTGATGTTTTGCCCCTTTGGAAAGAAGCCAAGTGTCCACCCCGGGGGACTCACTGGGCCGTTTCCCCCCCCCCAGGAATCCCTGAAGTGGAGATCTTCACCCTGCAGCCCCTGGTGCTGGGCCAGCCCAACGTCCTGGTCTGCTCCGTCAGGAACATCTTCCCTCCTGTGGCCAGAATCAGGTGGGCCCACCGGGACCAGGAGCTGACCCAGGGCGTCTTCTCCACCCAGACCTACCCCGTCCAAGTGCTGGATTTCCAGATTTTCTCCTACCTGGAGGTGACCCCCCAGGCAGACGACATCTACAGCTGCACCGTGAAGGGCCTGGGGGGCAAATTCGACAGCAAGGCCTTCTGGGGTGAGCTGCACCCCTCCCTCCTCCCTTCCCGGGCTTCCGCCAGAAGACCCCCTCCCGACTAACCCTCCCCTCCCCCTGCTTCCCTTGCAGTCCCCAAAGACCCCATCGCTTCCAAGCTCCTGGAGAACGTCCTCTGCGGCCTGGCAGTGGCGGTGGGAGGGGTCTTCTTCATCCTGGGGGTGGTCCTCCTGGCCCTCTCCTTCAGGGCCAGGCACGCAGGTAGGCCGAGGGGGAGGGTCAATCAAGATCCGGAGGGGATCTCGGCCTGCCCCTCCCGCGGCTTGGCTCCTGGGCAGAGCCTCCCCGAATGAGGAGTCAAGTTGGGGGGCGGCAGATTTGGGGAGGGGGGGCCTTGCCCGCTCTGCCCCCACTTTGTACAATCACCCCTCTCTTCTTCCTTAGACTGAAGGTGGCCCCATTAAGAAGACCCTCCTTTCTCCATTTCCCCCCCCATCCATGGATCGGCAGGACCCGGAGGCCTAGCTGGGAAGAAGACCCCCCCCCTGGATGTCAGCGTTCCCCCCTCCTCAAACTGAGCAGGGAAAGCCCCTTTCGGGAGGAGGTGCTCCCCCCTCTGCCCCTCAACCCCAACCAGCTGCAGAACAGATTCTGGGAGGGGGGAAGGCTGGGGGGCTGGGGAGGGGTCCCACCTGGGAGGATCACCCAAAAGGACGCACATTGAATCACACGGTTTCCGCTCCTCTCCTCCCCCCCCCCCACTTTCCTGCCTTTGGGCCTCATTGCCGGGCAGGTGTGAGCCCCCCCGCATTAGATTGGTCCCCCCCACCCCAGGCACCGGTGGGTGCAGACACTGGCAACCAGAAGGAGCATTTTATTCGCTCGTTTTAACCCAGGGGTGGGCAACCTTGGCTCTTTGATGCCTCATGGACTTCAACTCCCAGAATTCCTGAGCCAGCCAGCCATGGCTGGCTGGCTCAGGAATTCTGGGAGTTGAAGTCCACGAGGCGTCAAAGAGCCAAGGTTGCCCACCCCTGTAAAATTTAACCTGTAGCAAAAAGCCGATCAAAGCTGGAGGAACCGGAGTGGGTCCAGCTGCGCCGTGGGGCAGAAACAGCTGTGGTGCCTCCCCGTGGCCTCTGTTTGGTGGGGGGAGAAAATCCCATCGAAGCCAACGGGCCTTGCAGTTGGCCATTCTCTGCCTCCCTCCCTCTGCCAGGGCTGCCATGAGGAAGTGAAACCCAGGCGTGGGGGGGGGGGAAGGGGAAGACGCCAATCTTCCTTATCAAGAATAGCCAGAATATAAATTCTTGTGTCAAAGGAAACCGAGGCATTTGCATACAGTAAGGAGGAAATAATCTCAGATGAAAAATTACTAGGCTGCCAGCACTTGGGGGGGGGGGAGAATGCCCGTAAAAGGGCTTAAGGGCAGAAAAACTTACTTACAGCTGATTCTGTCATTAAAAGTTTAAAAATGCATGCCCGACGTGGGTGGATTTATTTGCTGGAGGGTCTTCTGCACCCCTGGGGGTGCAAATGGGGGGGGGGACCCAGCCCTTGAATGGTGGGGAGGGGGAGCTGGGGGTTGAAAGAGCAGTGATTAAATCAATGTTTCTCAACCTTGACAATTTTAAGGCATGTGGACTTCAACTCCCAGAATTCCACAGCCAGCAATGCTGGCTGTGGAATTCTGGGAGTTGAAGTCCACATGCCTTAAAATTATCAAGGTTGAGAAACACTGGATTAAATCTTTCGGCTAATAAATCGGGTAGGCAACCTGGGCTCTTTTAGGACTCGTGGACTTCAACTCCCAGAATTCCCGAGTCTTGGGAATTCTGGGAGTTGAAGTCCACGAGTCCTAAAAGAGCCCAAGTTGCCTACCCTAGTTTGAAGACAAGGGGCACATCACCATGGAGTCAGTGGTCCTGGGTGTTCCCGGGAGGCCTCGAAGCCTCCCTTCCAGAAGGGCCGAATGGCAGAGGAAGGACTCCGGGGCCCATCGTTCCCCGGTGTCCCAATTAACGAAGCAGGCTCTGCCACAGGGGCGCCGGGGATGATGGGACCTCCCGATTCCGCCCTTCAGAGACTGGAAACGGGCAGTGAAACTTCTGGAGGGGGAGAGAAGGGGGAGGGGGCCCACAGGCCGGGATGGTGGGGGGAGGGGGAGGCTGTGGGTTTCAAAAGAAGAAGGCCTGGGGTGGGGGGTGGGGGAGACGCGGGTGGAGGAGAGAAAAAGGGGCTTTTCCGGTCCGAGGATCCCTCGCTGTTCTGAGCCAGATCCTTCCAGAGCCCCAGATTGCGCTGGGGGGGAGGGGCGGGGGGCGTCCTGGCTGTAATCGACCCCCCGTTTGGATGAGATTAAAACCACCCAGCCGTGGAAAGCTTGGCTTGGTCTCGGGTGTCAGACGCTTCTCCTCCACGAAGAAGCGCCCCGCCCGCTGAAATGGGTCGGCGGTCGCCCAGCCGAGGCACCGAGGGGCTTCGTCCCCCTCCGCGCGCCTATCCCGGGGGGGGATTCAACTCCGGCGCCTCTCCAGTTCCATTTCTCTCGTAGAAAGACCTCTGGGGGACCCCTATGAGTCTATGCGGCGTGTTTAACGGCGGTTTGTGAAGGAAGGGGCGGCCGAGCCGGGCTCAGGGCGCGCAGGGGCTTTGAGGGACCCTCCTGGACCCCGAAACCCCGCCTGGCCGACCTCGGAGGGTCGTCCGCGGCGCTCAGCCGGAGGGTCGCGGGGCGGCTGCTCTCCTGTACCTCCCCCTTGCTCGGTTCTTCCTGCAACTGCCCCCCCGCCGCCCATCCTCCTCTTTCGCCCGGCCCGGAAGCCAGAGAGGGCGCAGCGCTCCCGTTTCTCTCTTCCTGCGACTACAAGGTCCATAATCCCCAAGTGCGTGCATCTGGGGAGGGGGGGGACAACGTCAGGGGTCCGGCTGGTTCAGGAAAAGCTCCCGCAGCGGGCCTGACCCGGGAAAGGAGCCGAGGCCGGAGACTCAAAGACACGAGAGGGGGGGCGGCAGGAAAGAGAAAGGAAGGACGGGGGGGGGAGGGACAGGCTGGCAGCCTTCCAGCGTTTGGGGGGCTGCCCCAAGGAAGAGGGGGGGGGTTCAGCCTCTACTCCAAAGCAGCTGAAAAACAGTCGTAAAAGAATCAAAGAGAGAAGCGAGCTGGAATTCAGGAGAAACTTCCCATCCGCCAGGAAAATTAGCCGGTGGAACGGCTTGCCACCGGAAGCAGTGGGCGGTCTAACGCGGGAGGTTTTTCTCAAGAAAAGACGGGGCAGCCACTCGGTCTGCAATGTTGCAGAGGGTCACGACTAGAGGACCTCGGAGGCCCCTTCCGAGCCCTGTCATTCCGTTCTTTTGCGAGCGCCCTGGGGCCAATCTCCCGTTCCGGCCCTCGGACGGCTCGGCTTTCCCCAGCGACTGATGACGCGCCGGCGTCCGCCTTTCCCATTGGGCGCCCGCCCTGGGAGGAGGCCGGGCCGGGGCGGGAGCGGAGGAGGGCGCGTCAGTCCCGCTCCGGGGTCCGTTCCGCGCGGCCCTTCCCGAGCGCCCTGCAGGACGGCCGCACCTCCCGCCTCGGCTGCCCGCCCAGATGCCGCCTCCGGGGCTGCTGCTGCTGATCCTGGCGCTCAGCGCCCCGCCGGCAGGTGAAGCCGCTCCCCCCCGCGCCCCCGGGACCCCCGCGCCCCCTCCCCAGTCCCTTCCCGCCCCGAGCGCCCCGCGGAGGCTCATTGGGGAACGGGGGGGGGGCCTCTCCGCTCAGCCGCAGCGAAGGGGCGCCGGTTACCCAGCGGGTGGAGCAGGTGGGCCCAGGTAGAGCTTCCATGCCCGGCGGCAGTCTATCTGCCCGTTTCAGCCCTCCGGAGATCTTCCCGGACGGTCCTCAGGGGGTTCCCGGGGAAGTTGGTGACGCCGCGAGCAGGTGGAGGCGGGAGGACCCAAAGGATGTGCGGGTTTGGGGGGAGAAGGGGGTCTTCTGGGCATGTGAAGAGCGCTTCCCCTGGCCACCGAGTTGCTCCGACGGGCCTCGCTTCCCTGCCCCGCTTTCGCTTTCCTGTTGGACGCCGAGCGCCGAGCCAGCGGGAGCCGCTCCCCTTTGCTTGCAGTTTCCGCCTTGGGTTACGGTTCCCATCCTCCACGGCGCGAGGGGCGCGTGGGCTGGGCTTCCCCCGGAGGGGGCTTCGCTTTTCTGGGCAAGGCGTCGGAAGGACGCCCTTCGCTCCCTGCCTGGGCATTCCCCGGAAGAAGGGAGCGCGAGTGTGTGTGTGTGTGTGTGTGTGTGTGTGTGTCTGTCTGTCTGTCTGTCTGTCTGTGTCTCTGAGTGTCCATCTGTATATCTGTGTGTGTCGGTGTGTGTGTCTGTATATCTTTGTGTGTCCGTGTGTGTGTGTGTGTCTGTCTGTGTGTCTCTATGTGTGTGTCTGTATGTCTGTGTGTATCTGTGTGTCTGTCTGTGTCTGTGTGTCTTTGTGTTTCTGTGTGTGTGTGGGTGTCTGTCTGTGTGTCTCTATGTGAGTGTCTGTATGTCTGTGTGTATCTATGTTTCTGTGTGTGTCCGTGTGTGTGTGTGTGTGTGTGTCAGTGTGTTTCTATGTGTGTGTCTGTATGTCTGTGTGTATCTGTGTGTCTGTCTGTGTCTGTATATCTTTGTGTGTCCGTGTGTGTGTGTGTGTGTGTGTGTCTGTCTGTCTGTGTGTCTCTATGTGTGTGTCTGTATGTCTGTGTGTATCTGTGTGTCTGTCTGTGTCTGTGTGTCTTTGTGTTTCTGTGTGTGTGTGTGTGTGTCTGTCTCGGGGCAGTGGGACCATGGAACTCCCTGCCTCTGGAGTGCCACCCTCTGAGCGCCCCGGAGCCGTTCAACTTCTTTGCCTGGGGAGGGGGCTTCCAGGCAGACACCCCTGATCTCCCTTTCTCTCCCCCCCACGCCTCCCCCCCCCGCGCAGGTGCCTTCGTGCTGCACCTGGAGACGGACTGCCTGCTCTCGGCCGACGGCGGCGTCCTTGAACACAACTGGGTGCTTTTCTTCAACAAGATGCCCTTCACCTGCTACGACTTCAACCAAAGCCAGGTCCTGCCTTGTGGCCTGGGGGCCTCCCAGCCCTGGGACCAGATGGGGGTGCCCGTGGCCCAGTGGCTCGCGCAAAACGCCCCGGAACTGCCGCAGGAAGCTGCCCAGCAGTGCCAGATCCACGGACGCCCGCTCTGGGCCCAGACGGGGCAGAGGCTGAGTGAGTGGGGGAGGGGGAGGGGGAGGGGGGGCGCTTCGGACCGGGGAGGGGGGGAAGGGGCTGGCCAACTAAGCCAACTGCTGAGGGAGCGGGGCTTCTCCTAGAATCCCAGCTGGAAGAAGGGGGTCTTAAAAGACCGTCTAATCCAGGGAGTCTTCCAACTCGGCCCTTGGATGACTTGTGGACTTCAACTCCCAGAATTCCTCAGCCAGGCACGGAGCGTGCCTGGCTGAGGAATTCTGGGAGTTGAAGTCCACAAGTCATCCAAGGGCCAAGTTTGAAGACTGCCTGGCTGAGGAATTCTGGGAGTTGAAGTCCACAAGTCATCCAAGGGCCAAGTTGGAAGACCCCTGATATATATATTCTGGTGGGGAGAGGACCCCTCCCAATTTTTTTCTGTGGGGGGCCAGGCAGAAGAGGCTGGGGGCAGCCAGCCCAGAGGGAGGCGGGAGGGGGCTGCCTGTCCAATGTCTACAAATAAAACATAAACATGTTGCTTGGGTAGGAAACTTGGAGTAATGTCAAATTGAGAATCATAAAACGTAGAACTGGGGTCTTCCAACTTGGCCCTTGGATGACTTGTGGACTTCAACTCCCAGAATTCCTCAGCCAGGCAGTCTTCCAACTTGGCCCTTGGATGAGTTGTGGACTTCAACTCCCAGAATTGCGTGCCTAGCTGAGGAATTCTGGGAGTTGAAGTCCACAAATCATCCAAGGGCCAAGTTGGAAGACCCCTGTCCTAATCCGAGGATGGGGGGGGGAAGCAGATCAGTGGGGGCCGGGGTGCTGAGAGAGAGGGTCCAATCCAGCCTCCCCTGTCCCCCCCCTTTCCTTTCTTCCTCAGCTATGCCGAAGGTCAGCATTTTCCCAGTCACCCCTCAGAACACTCCGGATCCCATCATGCTGGCCTGCGTGGCCTGGGGCTTCTACCCGGGAGACGTCAACGTAACCTGGCTGTGGAACGGGGACCCTGTGAAGGATCTCCTGGACCCCCTACTGGTCACCAGCAACGGGGACTGGACCTACCAGGCCCGGCTGACACTGCCGGTCGACCCCCAGAAGGGGGGCAGCTACTCCTGCTCCGTGCAGCACCCCAGCCTGGCTGCACCTCTCACTGCGGAATGGAGTGAGTGGGGTGGGGGGTGGGGACAACTCATGTGGGGGGGCAGGCACGTCTTCCTGTTAGTGGGCCTGGAGGAAGCAGGGCTGATCCTCAAGGGGACGTCTGTGCATGCGCAAAGGGCATGTGTTCAGAGGGCCTTCCCTCTGTGCGTGTGCGGAGGGCTCCTCTCTGTGCGTGTGCGGAGGGCTCCCCTCTGTGTGTGTGTGGAGGGCCTCCCCTCTCTGTGTGTGCAGAAGGCCCCCGTGCCTCCCAACCTGGAATGAAGGAGAAACTTGCTAACAATGAGAACAATTAACCAGTGGAACTACCTGCCACCGGAAGTTGTGGGTGCTCCATCACTGGAGGTTTTTAAGAAGAGACTGGACAGCCCTTTGTCCGAAACGGTATTGGGTCTCCTGATTGAGCAACGGGGGCTGGACTAGATGATCTCTGAGGTCCCTTCCAGCTCTATTCTGATTCTTTTTCGGCGAGTCTTCATCTCTCGGGGATTTGCAGGAAAACATCCGGACAAGGCGGTGGGGAGTTGCGGGAAAATGTCCAAGAATCGAGGCCCCCAAGCTACACCACCCCCCTTTAGAAAGTGCAGAGCCTGTGGTGAAATTGCAAGAGCCTATGGGACTCTCCTCCACTGGGGTCCTGAGGGCCACAGAGAGCTGGCGGTTTCTCTGGGACAGGGTCAGCTTTAAGATGGCCAGGACTACAATTCCCAGCTGTTGGTCTATCTATGTCAGGGGTCTTCCCACTTGGCCCTTGGATGGCAAAGCTGGCTGGCTGGGGAATTCTGGGAGTTGAAGTCCACAAGCCATCCAAGGGCCAAGTGGGAAGATCCCTGGTCTCTGTGCTGGCTGGGGAATTCTGGGAGTTGAAGTCCTCGCATCTGAAAGTCGCGAAGGGGTTCCGGGTCAAAGGGCAAGGGACCCCCGTAAATCCCCTCCAAAGTAGGAACCAGAAGCATCTTCAGCATCAGAAACAATGGGGGGAGGGGGACTCCTTGCGTTGGGCAAAGGACCCGAAGGGGAAGCCCCCTCCCCATTCTTGGTGTGTGTGAGACATGAACAGCCCCCTCCCCATTTTTCAGCCCCAGGGATCCCCTCGGAGCTGTGGATCAAGATTGGGGTCTCCGTGGCCGTGCTGGTGGTGGGGACGGTCTTCCTGGCGTCCGGCCTGGTCTTCTGGAAGCGGTCAAGGCTGCAAGGTGAGTGGGGGGGGCGGAGCCCCAACTCGAGTGGGGAGGCTGAGAGGTATGTGTGTGTGTGTGTGTGTGTGTGAAAAGGGCCCGTGCCTTTGGGGAGGGGCTGTAGATGGGGGCAGCCCCACACCCCCCAAAACAGGGCCTGACATGCTGGCTTGTTTCGTGCAGGGGGGCAGAGGGGGTGCGGACCCGCTAGGGGGCGCTTGCCAGCTCTCTGGGGCACGGTGGCTCCCACCCCCCCCCCCGACCCAGAGGGCGGAGCTTCAGCCACGGAGGGCACAGAGCCCCTCTGAAAAAGGGGGGGGGAACTCACCCCAAGGCTTGGGCGGGGGAAAGGGCAGGCGGGGGGGGGCGTGGATGGGGATGAGGGGTGTTGTAGTGCAGAAGCAGGAGAGCAGATCGGGGTGGGGGGGTGGGCCAGCCGTGTCTTGGGGCTGCTGGCCCTTCCTGGGGACCCTCCCCCATTTGGGCCCACCCAAAGACCTGAGCACCCCACTTAATCCACTCTCTTGCAGGATACGTCCCCCTGGAGGGCGATAGCTACCCCAGTGAAGGTGAGTCTGGCAGCAGCTAGGGGAGGGGGCTGCAGGAGCAGACTGCCTGCCTCCCCCCCCCACTCTTCAGCCCCAATGCCCCCCCCCTTTCGGCACCTCCAGGAAACCTCTGAGAGGTAATGGAGCAGCCCAGCTGCTGCTTGGGCTGGGGGGAGCGTCTCACACTGGAGTGGGCTCTTCCCTCTGATGGAAGACCCTTCCCCTACATTTCCCTTCCTGTCCTGCCCACGGAGACCAGCCAGAGAGAGCCCCCCCACCACAAAGTTTGACGCTTCTGGATCACTTCAGGTGTCGGGGGGAGGGAAGTGTTGGAGGGTCCCCACCCCAATTTCTGCATTTGCTGTGTCCCCAAGTCTCACGCCCCCCCTTTTCCATCCACAGGTCGGTAGCTTTCGGAGTTCACCCCCCCCCTTCCCAACGCTCAGCTGCACCCCAGCAGCCACCTCACTTCCCTCCCGCCAGAGGGCAGAAGATGTCATCCTGGGGGGGTCTCCCAAGAGGCCCCCCATCGCCGCTGCAGCGGAACGAAGCAGGACACCCTCCCCGTGGCTTCCTTCCACGCTTGTAGAAGGTGGGGGTGTGGACTCTCGCAACAGCCCCCCTCCTTTTCCTGCACCCTGGCTTCTCCAGGGTGGGGCTCGAGAAATAAAAACATTGCCCCCCCCTCCAGTTTTGCACAGCCTGATGGTGTTGGGAAGGGGAGGAGATGGGTGCAAAGGGAGGGGCTCTTTGCTCTGGCTGGGGGGGGGGTTCTGGGTGCTTCAGAAAAGGGGCCTTGAACTTCCGGGAAGGAAGCAGCAAAGGCGGTGCCAGGCTCTGCTCTCTGGGGGGGGGGTTCTGCCCAGAGGGACCCCCCCCACAAGGGGCTCAGGCAGGGCAGGGCGAAGGCTGAGGTTTCCAGCTTCAGCCTCTCTGACTCCCCCATGTGTGTGGGGGGTCCCCCTCAACGTGGCTTTGTTCTGCCCTGGATAGCCACTCCAGATGCCCCCCCCGGACGCCTTCTGCCTTAGCCCCCCCCATTCCAAGGCTTGTGGGCTCCCCAGTGTGTTGTGGCTGAGCACACGCAAGTGAGAAGCCCCCCCAGCCTACCGAAAGCTGCCCCCCCACCAGCCCCTCAAAAAGAGGAAGCGAGAAGTCCTTCCTCTTCTCTCCGACTGTTGGAATATTTCCCACCCCCCAAGGGAGGGAAGCTAAGTTCTTAAGGTCTAGCCTCATGAAATCTTTTTGAAGCCAGAAGAGCTTGGTGAGGGGGTAGGGTAGGGCCTCCGTGGCCTCTCAGCCGCAAGACACCCCCCCCAGAGAGGGTGAGTGGGGGTGGGCTGCTTCCCAGAGAAGTGAGTGCCGGGGTCCTGGGTGAGAAAGACGCCACGAGGGGCCTGGTTAACATGGCAATCCAAAATTAATCTGAATCAAAGTGTTGCAGCATTTAGAGTGGGGGGGCAGCTAGATGACCTGCCACCCCCCCAGCAAAGGTCAACCGCACAGCTTCCCTGGAGGGGGACAATCCAGTCACTGCTCCTCAGATTCTCTAAAAATCCCCATCGTAGCTCTCCTGTTGGTCTCCCATCCGGGGACCGAGGCTGCTGTTTCATCCCATATAGACCATGGCTACAATGAAGGGGCGCGTGGTGGCTTTGGAGGCCCCCCCCACGCAAGAGGGACACATGTGGGGGGCTAATCTTCCTGCTAGATTTCCAAGCAGAGCCTGGAAGCCCAGGATTCGCACCCGGAACCCAAAGGAAACAGGCAAACGAGGCCGAGCTGCCACACACCCCTCCCCCCAAATACGACAGCCCCTCCCTCTAAAACCAACTGAGCTGTACTGCAAAAAGCCCCCCCTTTCTCCCCCCACCCTCGGCTAAAGGAGTCCCCAGGCCTTCCGGGCCGAGGACGATGGGCATCGGTGGAGCCAAGAGGGTAAGGCAAACGAACCTCCCTCCCAAACACCCAGGACAGGGCGGCTCCCATCATCCACAGCCAGGCAGCCCGCGGATAAGGACGGAAGAGGCGAAGAGCGGATCCGGTGAGAAGCTGGAAGGCCTGGCGTCGAAACTCGAACTCGGATCCTCCCGACCAACTCCGATCTCGGCAGCCGAGGACCCCCCCCCGGATAGCCCAGCCCCCTGCAGCCCCCCCAAGAGTCTGGCTCATCTCGCTGACCTCCCCCCCCCAGAAAAAAGAGGAACTCCGAAGACCGATTTCGAAAGGAGTGAATATTGTCTTTTCAGTTCCACAAAAAAACATCTGTAAAAAGGCGGAAAACAAACTTCGACCCCCCCCCAGTCGTTCCCCTCCCCCCCACTGGAGGAGAGGGGGCAGGGGGAGCAGGAGCCCCCCTCCCACACACACACAGGCCTTCCTGGGGGGGGGGAGGCGTCTTCTGGAAGGGAAGAGGGGTGCCCCCCCACAACCGCCCCCCCTCCAGTTGCTGTCCATCAGGTTGGAGACCCCCCCCAGATTATTTCTGCTCCTTGGTGGGGGCGTAGTAGAGCTCCAGTGGCTTGCTCAGCTTCCAGTACTTCTCGTTCACCAGCTCCAGCGTCGCCGACCCGTTCAGCGTCTGAGTGGGGGGGAAAGGAGAGGGGGAGGAGAGAGGGGGGTGTCAGTTAGGGGGTCTCCTGCCCCTCGGCCCAAACCCCCCTCCTGCAGACCCCGAGCCTTCCCCGGGTGAAACCTTCCAGAAAAGATGGAGTGCCTCTCTCACTAGGCCGGGGGGGGGGAGGCCATCTTGGCTCATTTAGGACTGGTAGACTTCAACTCCCAGAATTCCTAAGCCAGCCATGCTGAGGGGAAAGGGAGAAGTTTCCAAGCTGAGCCAGGCTGGCTCAGGAATTCTGGGAGTTGGTCCATGAGTCATAAAGGACCTAGGCCCTAGGCCAGGGGGAGGCCACCTTGGCTCTTTTAGGACTGGTGGACTTCAACTCCCAGAATTCCTGAGCCAGCCATGCTGAGGGGAAAGGGAGAGGTTTCCAAGCTGAGCCAGGCTGGCTCAGGAATTCTGGGAGTTGAAGTCCACGAGTCATGAGGGGGCCATATTTCCCCCATGCTGGCTCAGGAATTCTGGTTGGAGACCCCCCCCCGGCTCAGGAATTCTGGGAGTTGAAGTCCACGAGTCATGAAGGGGCCAAAGTTTCCCTCATGCTGGCTCAGGAATTCTGGGAGTTGAAGTCCACGAGTTGTAAAGCAGACTAGGCCTAGGCCAGGGGTAGGCCACCTTGGCTCTTTTAGGACTCGTGGACTTCAACTCCCAGAATTCCTGAGCCAGCCATGCTGAGGGGAAAGGGAGAGGTTTCCAAGCTGAGCCAGGCTGGCTCAGGAATTCTGGGAGTTGAAGTCCACAAGTCCTAAAAGAGCCAAGGTGGCCTAGCTCTGCACTAGGGGGGAAACAGGTCACTCGGGCAAGCGAGCCCAGCCACACGGAGCCGACAGCCAGGCAGCAGATTCCCAGGATGGGCCAGAAGGGGGATCTGAACCCCACCATCGGGGGACCCCCCAAATCTTCCCATCCGCCCCTTCCCGTCCGCCGTGCTCTCACCGTGAAGGCCCCTCCCGCCGTGGTGATGTAGATGGTGTACTGCTTCTCGCTCACGTCCTCCAGGGCGGGGGGCTCGGGGCCCGGGTCGGGGGCCTCCTCCTCCAGGGCGATGCGCAGGGCCAGGTATTTGGAGAGGTGGTCCACCGTGGCGTTGGCCGTGGTCTTGACGTACCTGACAGCCCACGGAGGCAGGGGGGGAGAGAAGGAGGGGATGGTAAGAGGAAAGGACAACCCCCCTCCCAGGTTTTCTGGGGGGGGGGGCGAGAGAGAGCAGCTGACCCTCCCAAAGCGTCTTGAACCCCCCTCCCACCAGACCCCCGTAAACGGCCCCGATCCTCCACAGAGGCCCCAAAACAGAAGGGGGGGCCGCCTTTCCCGGTCCCTGACCTCAGAACCTTTGGGGGGGGGCAGGGGGGGTCTCACCTGGTCTGGGAGTAGCCCCCCTTCTCCACCAGGACCGGGTGGGGCCGGAAGACCAGCTCGATCTCGCTGGTGCTGGCCTCGGTGCCGGGTTCGGGGCTGCCCCGCCCGCCGTCGTGGGAGGTCTCGGGCTCGGCCATGGACTCGTCGGAGGCCCTGGAGCGCTTGCAGCTGGGCCCGGCCTCCGGCTGGCTGGGCGCCGAGGCGTTGCTGAGGTGGGAGCGGCTGTCGCAGTTGTCCTCTGCCCCACTGAAGGTGGTGTTGTCCGATTCCTGGGGGTGCTTGCGGACCCGCTGGCCCCTGGTGGAGGAGGAGAAAAGGCGGTGGGGTGGGTGGGTGGGTGACCCACGGTGAGGAAGGCGAGGGGTCTTCCCCGCTCAGCCCCCCCTGCTGTACTCAAGGGGCTTCAATAAAAGTTTATTATGAAAATCTGTGTCTCATGTCTGATTGGTTGTGTGCCAGGCTTATCCATTTTCGGACGACCAAATAAGCAGAAAAATATAAGTCCGCCATGTGAGCGTTTTGTTTTTTCCTTTAATTATTTTTTATCTTTAAAATTTTGTTATTAGATGATGTACATATGTTTATCCCAATAATAATAATAATAATAATAATAATAATAATAGAGGTGAATACATCAAGAGAGTGAAGAAGATCTTAAAGTCCAAACTCAATGGAGGAAATACCATAAAGGCAATCAACACCTGGGCAATCCCAGTCATTAGGTACACAGCTGGAATAGTGGACTGGACTCAAGCAGAACTAAAAGCAATGGATAGGCAGACCAGAAAAATAATGACAATGAATCATGCCCTTCATCCACGCAGTGACATTGATAGACTTTATCTACCAAGGCAAATAGGTGGGCGTGGAATGCTACAAGTACATCAGATGGTTGAAGAAGAAAAAATGGCTTGGAAGAATATCTGAAGAACAATGATGAAGATGCACTGAAATTAGTATATCAGGAAGGCTTACTAACTACTGGAGAGACCAAACTGGCCTACAAGAAAGACCAAATGAAGAACAGAATAGAGGCATGGGAAGACAAAGCACTACATGGCCAATACATGAAAAAATAGCTGGGAACGCAGATAATAACAAGACCTGGCAATGGCTAAGAGCAGGAAAATTGAAGAAAGAGACTGAGGGACTAATTCTGGCCGCACAAGACCAAGCTTTAAGGACAAATGCATATAAAGTCAAAATTTAAAAGACAGCAACAGACAGTAAGTGCAGCCTATGCGAAGAAGCTGAAGAAACAGTGGACCACCTGGTAAGCTGTTGCAAGAAGATTGCACAGACTGACTACAAGCAGTGGCATGACAAAGTAGCAACAATGGTGCACTGGAAGATCTGCAAAAAATATCATTTGCCCGTAAGCAAAAACTGGTGGGATCATAAAATAGAGAAAGTCATAGAAAATGATAAAATTAAACCGCTCTGGGACTTCAGAATTCAAACAGACAAGCACCTGCAACATAACACCCCAGACTAAACAATTGTCGATAAGAAAGACAAAAAAGTCTGGATAGTGGACGTGGCAGTGCCTGGAGACAGCAGAATAGAAGAGAAAGAACTGGAGAAGATAACAAAATACAAAGACCTACAAATAGAAATAGAAAGACTGTGGCAAAAGCAAGCAAGGGTAGTACCAATAGTCATAGGCTCCTTGGGTGCAATCCCAAAACAACTGGAGCACCACTAGAACACCATTGGCATTGACAAATTCGCTATTAGTCAATTGCAAAAGGCGGCCTTACTAGGAACTGCTTCCATCCTGCGAAGATACCTGTAATACATCCACATCTGCCTATCCCAGGTCCTGGGTAAGGACTCGATAGGTAGACAAAAATGCCAAACAAAGTCTGAACATCTGGCTGACTGGGCGATGATCCATAATAATAATAATAATAATAATAATAATAATAATAATAATAATAATAATAATAATAATAATAAAAAGATGGAAGGGACCTTGGAGGTCATCTAGTCCAATCCCCTGCTCAGGCAGGAAACCTTATACCATTTCGGACAAATGGCTGTCCAGTCTCTTCTTACAAACTTCCAGTGTTGGAGCATTCACCGCTTCTGGAGGCAGGTGGTTCCACTGGCTAACTGTGGTTAAATGTTTAAACACAGTTATTTCTCTCCCTCCATTGTTCTCCCCGATTAGATAGTTCAGCTTAGAAAGAGTTACAATCTTGATTGAAATTAAAGTGATTAATGGAAGGGTGGATGGATGCATTTATCGGCCTTTAATTTAAAGTTGATTTAGGCAGGCACATCCCACGGATCTAAAATCCTTCATGAAGTTACAAAGAATACAGATATTTCTAAGGAAGTAAAACATGGACGGAGACAGCCCCACTGGCAAATGGAAAAAGGATTAACAACAACAACAATAAAGTTGGAAGGGACCTTAGCGGTCATCTAGTCCAACCCCCTGCTCAGGCAGGAAACCCTATTCCGTTTCCTAGCCAATCTTACCTCATCCTACAGGATTATTTCCCCCCCCCCCATCCTGTTAGGGAAGAAATTGGACAACATGAAAATTAAGAACAAAGCAATCAAATTTACATGTGTCTTTAACAGGCCTGTCGATCAAAGTTTCCTTGTGGTGTCACCCTCCCACCTTCCTGAGTGGAGATGGTATCCCCCAGAACGAGACCCGGATGACAGGCGCTCCAATGCCTCCAGCAGGGGCTGGTCTAGAGGACCTCTGAGGTCCTCTCCTTGGAGGGAAAATGCTGCCATTGCAGATTCTTCGGGGGGGGGGGCGGTTTCGCACCCAAGAAAGCAGCTCTAAGCTTTAAAATTAATTAATTTTTTAAAAAAACAGACGCTGAATTGAGTCCCCCCCCACACACACACACCTCCATTTTACAGGTAAGTCCTCAACTTAACGACCAAAATTCAGCCTGGGAGAAATTGGCTCCAGGGACTTTTGTCCCGTTCTACGACCGTAGAGCCACTGGCAATCTATTATTAAGTTAGGCCACATGGTCGTTAAGCAAATCCAGCTTGAGCCCCCTCTCCCCGCTGATTTTGCTCGTCAGAAGGGGAATCACACCACACACACACGCATCCCCAGGGATGCTGTGACCGTCGTTAAGTATGAACCAGTCACCGAGCATTTGAATGTAAACACACGTGGCTACGGGAGACTGTAAAAACGGTTGTAAGTGTGAAACACGGCCACGGGTGGCTTTTTTCAGTGCTGTTCTAACCTCGGTCACTCAACAAGCCATTGTCAGTCAAGGACTGCCTGTCTATAGATCAGGGATCTTCCAACTTGACCCTTGGATGACTTGTGGACTTCAACTCCCAGAATCCCTCAGCTAGGCACGTCCACAAGTCATCCAAGCGCCAAGTTTGAAGACCCCTGGTCTTTGTGCTGCCTGGGGAATTCTGGGAGTTGAACTCCTGGCATCTTAAAGTCACGAAGAGGTTCCCGGTCGAAGGACAGGGGTCTGGCTGAGGAATTCTGGGAGTTGAAGTCCACAAGTCGTCCAAGGGCCAAGTTGGAAGACCCCTGAATCTTCAGGCTGGTGTTTTCGGCTTCGTGCTTCTAGAAGCACGAAGCCGAAAACACCAGCCTGAAGATGAGGAATGAGAATTCGTCGAAACGTCGCCAAGACACTTCCAATTTGACGTGGGAGAAAACCCGAATAACCAAAGACCTACATACAAACACCAGCGAAAACCTCAGAAAACATATATATATAAATATATTTATAAATTCTGATGAGGAGAGGACCCCCCCAATGTATTTTGGGGGGGAGGAGGAGGAGAGGCTCGGGCAGCCCTATAGGGAGAGGCGGTAGGGCGTGGGGTCCCCGCCCCCCCTCCCCTCCTACCGGTTCATGGCCTGCATCTTGAGCCCCTCCTCCATGCTGCTGCGCAGGGCCTGCTGGTTGTGGAGCCGGTTCAGCTTGGCCAGCACCCGGTCCTGGTGGGCCTCGTACTCGTCCCGGCTGGGGTAGATCTTGGAGATCAGGGCGTCGAAGTTGGGGTCCGGCCGGAGGGACCGCTTGGACACCAGCTTCTTCCGGCACGTCGGGCACTCCTTGTTCCTGTGGTGGTGGTGGGGGCAGACGGAGGGAGGGTTTGGCCCCGCTGGAAGACACACACACACGCACACGCACACCCTACTCACTCCTCGGGAGGCGAGCCCCCCCGGGCCCCCGCGGTGGCCCTACCCACTGCGCAGGGCTGTGACAATGCAGTCCGAGCAGAAGCGGTGCAGGCACTCCTTGGTGGTCATGGTGTGCTTGAGCATGTCCAGACAGATGGGGCACATCAACTCGCTGTGCAGGCTGCGGGGGGAGACGGCGATCTCCGTCCCGTCCATGACGGCCTCCTGCCGGGGAGACGGGCACGTTGACACAGACGACTGGGGGGGGGGGTGTTCCCTCTCGGCTGTGGTACTGTAAGCCACTCTCCGTGGGGCGGCCCTTGGCCATGACCGGCGCCAGTCCTGCCAGGTGGCTCCCGGGTGTGACTCGCAGCGCCCCCAAAGTCCCTCCAAGGCTGGACGGTCTGGGGGTGCCACGTCAGTCTGGGAGAAGCCCCTCCGCCCATTTATATGCCAATCTTTGGAGGAGGATGGGGGGTATCCTGGGGGGGGGGCTCCCAATTTTTATGGAGGGGAATCGACCTGTTTGTGTGCCACTTGTGCCTTCCTCCCCCCTCCTCCTCCCCCCTCCCTCTCCAGTCCCTCACCTGGGGAGTCCGAAATTGACCCATTGGTGCCCCCCCTTAAGATTCCCACATCCAAAAAGGGGAATCCAGTGGAAGTGCCCTGGAGGAGGGGTCTCCCATGGCTGGTTGGGGCCTTGACCCTCCCTGTCCTTCTCCTGCCAGCCTTGGGCCACTTGGGCCTTCCCCTCCCCCCTCCCCCCTTCTCCCCCTCCCCCTCCTCCCCCCCAAGTCCCTCACCTGGGGGGTCCGGTGAAGCTCGTACAGGCTGAGCTCCCAGGTCTTGCTGGCGGTCTGTGCGTTGGCTGGGGCGGCCATGGCAGCCTTGGGGGGGTCAGGAGAGAAGAGGGGGGGCTGAGCGGAGAGGGAAACCCTCCGGGTACCTGTGCACGCGTGTGCCTGTGCACGCGTGTGCGCGCAGCTTCTGAAAAGGACCCTGCAAAGGAAGGAAGGAAGGCTCAAGAGTAGCTCAGCTGCCAAGGAGTGGCCCCAGAACGCAAGACCTGGAAGGGGCCTCGGTGGTCATCCAGTCCAGCCCCGTCAGCGGCTGCTTCGGGGTTTAAACAGAGCAATGGGGGTGGGGGGTGGGCAGAGGGGAATCTTGGCTTTGCAGCCAAGGGCAGATGCCATCATAGCCCATCTGCCCCAGCCGTACAGGCCAGGGAGGATGGGTCCAATCCCTCTGGCGTTTGAACTCCAGGGACCGCGACCCCATCAGCTGCTGCTGACGGAGCGGCGTGGAGGAACCGGGGGAGCAACCGGCTCTTTCGCCCCCCCCCCGCCCCAGAGAGGACCCCGAGTCAGGCCTGCCGCCCCTCACCCACCCACCCGGGGACAAGGCCTCTTTTCCCGGGAGCGGAGCCGGGTCCCGACGGCGCCCCCGACGGCTCCGCAGCGGCAAAACCGAATCGAGGGGAAACCCCGAATATTTGGGGAGGGGGTTTCAAACGGCTACCCCCCTCCCCAGAGTTTCCCCCCCTTTCTCCAACTCCGGTTTTCTTTGGGTGTCCCCGCTCGCCCCACGAAAGAGTGGCGTGCAAGGGGCGGGAGAGGCCGGGCGGCACTCTGTGCACGCCCAGAGTACCCCTCTCCGTCCCCTCCTGGCCGCCCGGCGAGCCTCCCGGCGGGAGGGGGCGGCCGAGCTGCCCTCTGCACGCGCTCGGGAACAGCCTCGGCCGCCTCCCTCTCCTGCGCCGCTGCCCTCTGCACATGCTCGCCGTCCCCTTGCCGCTCCGCCCGAGCGGTAACAAAAGAGGCTCCGCCGGGCTGGGATAAAGAGGAGGGGGCGCTTCCCCCATCCCGGTTGCAGCCCCCCCGCCGCCGCCCTCGGGGGTCCCCAGCCCCCCTTCCCAGGGGCGCCCCCCACCTTCTCTCCGGCGGGAGGGACCTGGGGCGCCCCGCTCTTCCGTCCTCCGCCTCCCGCTCCGTCTTTCCCTGCCGGGGAGGGCGGGAGAGGGTGGGAACCTCCGAGAGCGTCACTTCCCCTCCCCGCCCCGTGACGTCACGAGAGGGGGGTGTCCCCCCCACCCGACGCCCCGCCCCCCCGGACAGCTGCTCCGCGGGGCGCCCGCCAGGCCCCCTCCGCAGAGCCCCCCCTCTCTGGGGAAGGGGCGTCCCGGGTGGGGGTCAATCAGCTCCCGCCCTTCTCCCGGACGGAGGGGGGCGAGGGTCCCACGTCGTCTTGGAGGGGGTCCTCTGGAAGCCGGATCGGGCCCGCATTCTTCCCCCCCCCCCGATTAAGGGGCGCCTTCTCCCCACTCGTTTTATGGGGCCGGGAATCAGGAGGGGTCTCCCCGAAAGAAAGAAGACCCCCCCCACGGGTGGGTTTCTAGGCTCCGACGGGGGGGGGGAGACCCCCGCCCGTCTCAGCCCGGCCAAGGTTTGCGGTGGGCTGGGCCGGCTTCCTTGAGTTTATTGCCCCCCCTTTTTAAGGGGTGACCCTGATATATTTGCTCCAAAGAAGGCAAATATATATATATATATATATATTCTTTTTCCAACAATTTAATCCAGGGGGTCTTCCAACATGGCCCTTGGATGATTTGGGGACTTCAACCCCCAGAATTCCTCTGCCAGGCACGCCTACGTGCCTGGCAGAGGAATTCTGGGAGTTGAAGTCCCCAAGTCATCCAAGGGTGGCGCCACGTTGGAAGACACCCCCCCCCCCGATTTAATCCGAGCAGAGGAAAAGACAGGATCCACAGAGCATAGGTCGCTGCAGAAGCATCAGCTGCTCCGTTTTATTGGGGAAAACAACTGGCCGATCTCGAACTCGGAGCAGGGCCCGGGGACGGGGGACCACCAGGCGATCCCAGGCGGTGGCCCAGATGCGTGAAGGGCAAGATTCTTCAGGGGCTCCTGCCGAGGGCGGCCGATCCAGCAGGGGCTTCGGCTTCGTTCGGCGAGGGGGGGGGGCATCAGAGACCCTCCCTGGCCGTCTTGAGATGAGTGCGAAGGATGCCGTGATGAAGACCCCCCCCTTTGGCTCCCCCCTCCGAAATTGTGGCTGGGGTCCCTGGTCCCTCTGCCATAGGGCCCACAGAGCCAGTGATCCCCTTTGCCCCCTGGGTGGGGGCCCTGATGGGAGTGAGCCCCCTCCAGGCTCTGGGCTCCCACAGCTCCCCCTGGTGCATGGAAGCCAGGCTGCAGGGAACAGAGGCAGGAGCGGTGGTGGGGGGTGTACAGGGGGATTGGCCCCCGGGGCAAGGGGGGAGGAAGGGGGGCTGGCCTAGGCCTGCAGAAATGCCCACCTCCCTCTCTCTGGGGGGGGGGTTCTCTTCCTGGCTTGACAGACCCTCGGAGGAATTAAAGGCCAGCTTCACACAGATCCCAGTGAATGGGGAGGGGGCTGAAGAGACCAGTTGGGTCCAAAGCCTCCCAGTTTTGTTCTCCTCTGCAGGGGGGGGCTGCTGGGAAAGGCCGGACAGTGGGCTTTGACCGAGCCCTGAAAGGGCCGTGACCACCCAGGCAGAGCCCGCCCACCCGGGCACAAGAAAGGGGCTTGAGGTGTGTGTGGTTGGGGGGCGGGTGGGCCGAATGAGGCTCAGGGGTGGGGACCTCTCTCCGCTGCCCCCCCCAGTCCCACTCGAGCTCCCCTCCTCTCCCATCAGCAGCCCAAGGATCCCGTGAAATGCCCCCCCTCCATGCTTAAGGAGGGGGGGAGAAACCAAAGGGATGGGAAGCACCTCCCCCTTTTTTACACGGGGGGGGGGGAGGTTGGATCAGATGGAGCCAGAGTTTTTTGGGGGGGGGGTAACTTTTTGAGGGCTGGAACAACAAAGGGCTTCCCAGCTATTCAGGGACAGAACTGAGGCCCATTTTACAGACCAGCCCCCTTCCCCCCCTTTCTCTGCTTGCGAGGGGGGGGGCACCAGGCTGGAGAAGTGGAATTTGGCGGAATGACCATCCTGCAGCAGTAGCAGTAGTCGTAGTAGTAGTAGTAGTGATGATGATGATGATGATGATGATGATGGAAGGGACCTTGGAGGTCATCTAGTCCAGTGATGGCGAACCTATGGCACGAGTGACAGGTGGCACTCAAAGCCCTCTCTGTGGGCACGTGTGCCGTCGGCCCAGTCCTTCAGCTGGGTTTTATAAAACCTTTTCGCTTTAGGCCTACGCCACCGTGGACAAAAAAAATAAGGTTCAATCAATCAGTCAATTTCAACTTCCACCCAGTCTGCTGTTACTGCAGCCACGCCCACCCAATGGGCCACACCCACCTGGCACCTGACGATGCATAAGTGGGTTTTGGGTTGCAGTTTGGGCACTCGGTCTCTAAAAGGTTCGCCATCACTGATATAGTCCAACCCCCTGCTCAGGCAGGAAACCCTATACACCATTTCAGACAAATGGCTGTCCACTCTCTTCTTAAAAGCTTCCAGTATAATAATAATAACAACAACAACAACAACAACAACAATTTGGTAAGCTGTTGCAAGAAGATTGCACAGACTGACTACAAGCAGCGGCATGACAAAGTAGCAACAATGGTGCATTGGAAGATGTGCAAAAAATATCATTTGCCTGTAAGCAAAAACTGGTGGGATCATAAAATAGAGAAAGTCATAGAAAATGATAAAATTAAACTGCCTGGGACTTCAGAATTCAAACAGACAAGCACCTGCAACATAACACCCCAGACTTAACAATTGTCGATAAGAAAGACAAAAAAGTCTGGATAGTGGACGTGGCAGTGCCTGGAGATAGCAGAATAGAAGAGAAAGAACTGGAGAAGATAACAAAATACCAAGACCTACAAATAGAAATAGAAAGACTGTGGCAAAAGCAAGCAAGGGTAGTACCAATAGTCATAGGCGCCTTGGGTGCAATCCCAAAACAAGTGGAGCACCACTTGAACACCATTGGCATTGACAAATTCGCTATTAGTCAATTGCAAAAGGCGGCCTTATTAGGAACTGCTTCCATCCTGCGACGATATCTGTAATACCATCAAACATCCACATCTGCCTATCCCAGGTCCTGGGGAAGGACTCGATAGGTAGACAAATGCCAAATCCAGTTTGAACACCTGGCTGACTGTGCTATGATTAATAATAATAATAATAATAATAATAATAATAATAATAATAATAATAATAATAATAAAAAATAAAGTTGGAAGGGACCTTGGAGGTCATCTAGTCCAACCCCCTGCTCAGGCAGGAAACCCTATATACCATTTCAGTTGCGCGAGCTTTCCAGAGAACAGCTTCTGGTCAGTTTCCAGCCTTCCACAGAAGGCGAGACATATCGGGGACCGCCCCACTTTGCCCTGCTGGAAAACGGGGTCTGGCATCAGGTGTTGTTCTGGTCCCTGGAAGCTTGGGGGGGGGCTGCAGGTCCCTGCTAACACGGGTGCCCCCCCCACATGGGGTGCAACTCTCCCCAAAAAACGCAGCCACAGGGCGGATCTCACAGGATCCGTGAGGGAGGGAGGGGTGGGCCCAAGTCTGAGAGGAAGCGCTTGGGGGTCAGCGCCAGGAGTGCCATGTTGGGCAGAAGCCGGCGTGTCCCCTGGCAGGGTGACCTGCCTGCGCCCAGCCCTGAGACAGCACTTCAGACCTGGTTTGCGCAATCTCCTTCCTTCCTCCCTCCCTCCCTTCTTTCTCTCCTTCCGAGAATGCCCCTTGAATTCGGTGCCGTTCCGCTTCAAGGGCAGGCAGATCCTCCGAAGAGCCCAAGACCCCCCCAGGGGCCTCTCGGGCCGCTGACCATCAACCCCGGCTCTTGATGTCCAGACTCAACTCTCGGTGGCGAGACAAGAATTGCGTTTGGACAATCACAAGCCGGGGCTCCGGATTGGGAGGGGGGGGAGAACCGAGAGGCGCCCGTCGGAGTCCGCAGAGCTCCCGGTCCAAGCAGGCCCCGAACATCCCCAGGGCGGTGTGCCAGCCAGATGCCTGCCCCAAGGCGGATGCTCTTCCGTCTTTGCCCCGGCCCATTTCCCTCATTCCTGTTGTGAGTCTTTCCTGTTGTTCCCTCATTCCTGTTGTGAGTTGGAAGGGACCTTAAAGGTCTTCTAGTCCACCCCCCCTGCTCAGGCAGGAAACCCTATCCCAGTCCAGACAAATGGCTGTCCAGTCTCTTCTTAAAAACCTCCAGTGAGGGATCACCCACAACTTCTGGTGGCAAGCTGTTCCACTGGTTGATTGTTGATTAATTGCTCTCACTGTCAGGAAGTTTCTCCTTAGTTCCAGGTTGCTTCTCTCTTTGATTAGTTTGCATCTGTTGCGTCTTGTCCGGCCTTCAGGCGCCTTGGAGAACAGGCTGACCCCCCCCTTCTCTGGGGCAGCCCTAGATATTGGGGGACTGCTGTCATGCCCCCCCCGTCCTTCTTTCCTCTCAATAGAGCAGTGTTTCTCAACCTTGACCATTTTAAGGCATGTGGACTTCAACTCCCAGAATTCCACAGCCAGCGTTGCTGGCTGTGGAATTCTGGGAGTTGAGGTCCACATGCCTTAAAATGGTCAAGGTTGAGAAACACTGCAATACAGCCAGACCCATTTGTCCCTTCAAACCGCTCATCCCTCCGGCCGGCCCCAGGGAAGCCGCTTCCCAAAATCTGCAATTACGCGGTTCCTGTTCTGCCCCTTGGTGAAGGTGGGCAGCCATTTGTGTACCAGTGTGTTGTTGTCTCCCTTAACAACTTTTCCGAAGTCAGTGCTGGGGCCGCAATGGGCGAAGCTCGGCTGCTTTTTTGTGATGTAGGGCGAAGGTGTCTCCTCCAGCTTAGGACATTTTCCAAAAGCGAATTAAACAACAGATGAAACGTGTTGTGTCGATGTGTAGTGTGGTTTTTTTTTTCTCAAAGCAGGTGAAGGAGAAGGGCAGGTTGTCTTAGCTTGGTCCCCTGACCCCCCCTTGCTTTGGGGCCCCTAACCCCCGTTCCTTTTGGGCACGGGCCCCCCAAATGCCCCTTTTTTGGACCAGGAGGAGAGGACCTCGGATGGGGGATTCCAGCGTCCACTA